ATAGGCGGGGGTTTTCGTAGCACCTGCGGGTCCTGGGAGGGAGGACCCCTGGTGTGAGCTTTTTTACATGGCACTGTCATGAAGTTCGAAGTGAATTGTTGTCATTTCCATTTTTGGAAACTGTGCGCGTTCCTGGCGTGCATTTGGAGGATTCCTTTTTTGGACATCCCAGTCCTGAGGTCATACTTTCACACGGATAAGAGGGTTGGATTTCGTCCACCACTGATTGCGACATCATTTTTTTGAGCCTCATTTCTTAGATCCACGCTATGAAGCTTGTGCTGCATAGTCATACTGACCGAGCCGCCTCTTTGGCATGGATGCAGCTTGCAAATATCAAGACGTGATAACAAAAGTCTTAGCGCGCGATGCCGGATCCACCGGAGAACCTCCGGGGTCACAATCTACGAGTAGGTTATTTGTGAACAAGCAGGGACATCCCAGTATCGCCGCAGACCCGGCCAAGGGGGATCCAGCAGACTTACAGCAAGTTCAGCAACCATAATTAATTTAAGCAACTGCTAGTCAATAATCTCATCACATGGCTCGCATCGGCCAGGATCTCGGAAATTCGGTTCCAGCAAAGACCCGTCTCCTTGGTATTGATCGTTGCCTATCTGGAGCACTGGGCACATCAGCTGCACCTCTACAACATGGACTTGAAGCCAGCATACCTGGAGGCGGCTTCTACAGAAAAGATTTGCCTTTTGAGTATTTTGAACAACACGATCCTTGCCGATACTGCCGTGTGCACTAGATACCTGACCATCGTTTCAAAAACGTGCTCAGGCTGAAGTGTTCGAGTAGTGGGATGCGCATGGGTCTGCACGCAATTTGCGACATGGCTTGAAGTCTTGCCTTTTCAAATATGGGAACAGTTTCCTTTCCTACCAGCTTTCTCTCAACCCAACCCCAAGGGTCGTCGACTCGTCACGTCATTCTGGATCCAGTCCAATCCAATCCAATCCTACCCAAGCGGCTGGACGCAGCCCAACCGTCGGGCATCGGCGACCATCCGAAGAAAAAAAAAATTTAGAGTGCTGCTAGGGGTGTTGACGAACCTTCTCCAGGGTCTGCCAAGTAAGTCAGCGGCCGGGGTTCGGATCAGTAAGCAGACAATTTGTATTACCTGAGCGTGCGCTAGCCAGCAATCGTCAAGTCGAGGACGTCATACCTGCCTCCTTTCAATGTTTTCCGGTGTTTTCCAGTCCATCCGTTGTGTAGGAATTTGTATTTGTCGGAGCTAGCCACAGTCTGGCCGGAAACAAGAACTGAGGACAGTGACTGACCTGCTTGTCTGTGTACCTACCTAGCCGAGGCTCTGGCTGAGATGGCGGCTATCGGCGCTCCGGTGAATGCTTTTACTTTTGATTAATGCTCTGGCTGCTGCAGCGTGACACGCTTTCACGTCGTGGGAGTTTGGTATTTAGTAGACGTTTCCCCCGTTCTCCTCTCAGTTGGAGTCTGGCGCATTTCAGCAAGAGAACACTGTCCTTGCCATTCCCGTCCTGTACAGTATCTAAACATTCACCACACGATATCCAAATATCAGAGCCTTCCTTTGTGATTTCGCTACAAATGGACCCCCCATTTATGAGCTCCCCTTCCAGCTCACCCGACATAGCGGCCATGCCTGTCCCATTCCCAGCATTTTGCGACCTCAACTCAGATTCGTCGAATCCGAATTCGCCAGTAGTGAGTGTCACGCTGTTTCGTACTCCTCGCGCTACATTCATCCTATATAGATTGCTCACATTCACAGCAGAATAACAAACCAGTCCTCTTTCCTGTCGGCTCGCTATCATATAATGTGCCACTGTACGAGGGCGGTCCGATGGAACTCTACACACCACTGGGAGAGAAGATGCCCCTAACCACGAATACAACAGCTGAGGGGCAAAATCGACGGCGGAAGTCCAATACTGCTAAAGACCCAGAAACGATCGCGAACATGCAATTTGTCAGTGACATCTTCAATCTATATATATTAAGGTTGTTATTTATTACTCCAGCTGACATATTTTCTTCTCACAATCAGAGACGCCGTGCACAAAACAGAGCATCCCAGCGCGCCTTTCGCGAGCGGAAGGAGAGACATCTCAAAAGCGTGGAGAGCCAGCTGCACAATCTCCAGAGCTTACACCACGATCTCCTGCAGTCGTATAACCAGCAAGCAGAGGAGGTCGCCCGACTGAAGCAGCGGATCCAAGAGCTGACGTCGGAGATCGAGAAGCTGCGCAACGACGTTCGATATGATTCCGTACCCGAGCATGCCTTACACCTATAATAATAATAATTCCGGACCCGAATCTTGTTTTGGGAGGAGCGCAGTGAAGCTTAATACGCAAGTTGATTTTTCGAAAGATAATGACTCTTTGTGAGAATGTTTCTCTTGATTTCTCTTTCTTCTAATATGTTCTACGGAATGGCTGGCGTTATGGGCTTGAAAGAGGCAACCTCGAAGGATGCTTTGTTTTGCTAAAATTTTACGCAGATGGCGATCGCGGGATAGGTCTAATACCGAATTTGTCAAATTTGCAAAGGTGTGACATGTATAACAACTCATGGGCGAAGTACAGTGCAGAGATACCTAAGCTGTGGTTGAATCGTAGTGTGTTCACACCGATCGAAATGCTCACCTCCTCTTGGTAGCATCCCGTCCAATAAGGAGATGGCATTGATAGGAAATCGGCGCCCGCAGTCGGTGAGGTCGACAGCAGGACAGGGGGAGTTAATATCGCTGGAAGCAACTTGTCTTGAACTTCCTCTTTTTCTACTGTAAGTGGCATACATGGCCTCGGAGGTCATGCATGTCAGACTTGGCAGCCTCCTTATCCACCAGTAACAATGGCATTTTGATCTGGGTTTCCTTCAGCCCCTCATCACATGCCTGCTTGACCCGAATGGCGATTGCGTCGGGCACCCGGCCTTTCGCCCGGCCACCTCCCCCTCGCTCTCTGTTTCCCCGGAGTCTATCAAAAGTTAGTGAGTCAGTGGCTCACGAGTCACGAGTCAGAATACGGAGTGCCATCCTAGCTGGCTTGCGACTCTTGTTCTAGACCTCTGTAGTGTAGGTAGTCACTGATACTTACCTAGCTAGCCTAAACTCCGCAGCGGCTGAAATGCGTGGATTGCCGTCGCTTAGCTTGCTACCTGGCCTTGACGCGTGGGGTTGTCGAGTGGTTGTCTGCTCTGTAAGAGTACTGAGTACGTATCTGCGACTCTGCGATGATAATAAAAATAAAAATAAAAAAATAATAAAAAAAAATAAAACAAATGGAAGCCCATGCTGATGAACTTCGGGCATTTGTCGCGCCAAATGCATTGAAATCGAACCAGGCTATAAGGTTTGCCTTGTGTCACTCAGTGAGCAGCACCAACACAGTGGCTCCAGTTTACGATATTAACAGCATGACACATCACATATTTTGAATTACTTTCTCAATTCTATATATGATAACCCACATTATACTTATGAATGAATTCTCCAGAGCTTAAAGCACTTTAGGTGATTACCAGCTTACAGGAGTACCTTGGATAAGATCCATGGATTGATGAGCTCGATTTCCCATTGGCTCCCCGCATCGGAAACGCCTTTGGGGAGCCGCCGGCTGGCAGCCAATAATCGACCGCCGTTGCCAAGCAGGTCCCGCTGACTCAGCACTGTAATGTTCCAAGTTGTCTCAGCGATGACCTCACTCCTATCCCTACCATGGAATGAAGCTCGGTGCAGAGCCAAACTGATGTTGTTTGGGACGAAGCTTCCACTGCCCTGATCATTGGAACTCTGTTAATAATATACTTTCCATTTCTAACAGTTTCTATATCCTCTGACTTCGGCCCGCTCTCGTGGTTCTCAACGTTATCGAGGTAAACAGATGCTCGGATTATGACCATGGAGAAATCAACACCGCCAATGTTGGTAACCATCAACTCGATACGTGTAAGGTTCTAGGGACTAAAACTGCCTCAGAAATCAATGGCGAGAAGGGGGCTCTCTGAGCTCTGCGCCTCTATCCTCGTTTGTCAACAGCAAGGATGCGTTGACCGCTTATCGTGATGACGAGAAAGAGATGCAGCATCAGAGCAATGCTAGCCAGTATATCCCGCCTTTTTGGTCTCGAAGGCGCAGTTGGTTGAATTTGCGGGCGATCTCCAGATATGTCATGATAATTATTGCATTGGGTTATCTTGTTACTCGCATTGCTATGATAATAATATCAGGCACGTGATCCCAGTCTGTATGCCAATTGCCCTTTGTCTAACAAGGCCATGACAGATATATCACCCAAGGATGATTCTATACCAGTGACTGCGCTTGAGCTCTGTACTGCTCCCGAGTGTGTCCATGCTGCGTCCGAGATCCTGTACAATCTGGATCCTAATTACCAAAACCTCGATCCATGTACCGATTTCGAACAGTATGTCTGTGGGGGCTGGAGGGACCGCCACGACATGCGTCCCGACCAGGGGTCGATCTTCGCTGGTACCATCATGGAGGAGAATGCCCAGATGCGCTTGCGTCACATCTTGGAGTCTCCTCAAGTACCTGGGGTCCCAGCGTCGGCCGACAAGGACAATTTCCAAAAACTGAAGGCCGCCTACGATGCTTGTATAGATGTTCCCGCACTGAAAAAGAGGGGCTCGAAGCCTTTGGAGGATATGCTGGCCCAGATCGAGAGGGTCTATCCTCTAGGTCACGGTAGCTCGCGTGAAAAGCTGACCGATGCGATATTGTATCTGATCAACATTGATGTGCGAGCACTGACTGCCTTCTCCATATCTGTAAGATGACTGGCAATATTCCTTTTTTTAGACTTTATATACTGACCACTTTGAAGCCCGACGATCGTGACCCCGATTCTGTGGCGATATTTGTCACCCCTCCACGGGAGATCGGACTCCCGACAAGAGAATATTACAACAATTCGAAGACGGTTGAAGACTATACAAGTGTTGTACAACAGGTTCTCGGGAACTTTGAATCTTCTTTGTCGTCACACGGAACTTCTGGGTATCGAAGACTCGCTAAGAATCTCGTGCTCTTCGAGACGAAACTGGCGAATGCGACCCCAGACACGCAAGCACAAGAAGATGTGACCAAGTACTATAACCCCCGGAGCCTTGAGGAGACTCAGTCGCTCGTGCCAGAAATCTCTTTCGTCGACATCATCTCGACCCTGGGTCCGAAGGACTTTAAAGCGGACCGCCTCATCGTTGGGTCTCCATCGTACATGAAAGATCTTTCGGCAATATTGAACGAAACGCCAAGGGAGATCGTTCAGGCGTTCTTGAAGTGGAAGGCGATCCAGGCGTATTACTCTACTATCGAGGACCCAAAGATAGCCCCTCTACGGGAGTTTGACAACCAACTGGCGGGCAAAGATCCTCAGGCGACCGAGGAGAGATGGCGCAAGTGCATCGGGGTGCTGGACGAGGGCATTGGATGGATTTTGAGCCGATTCTACGTGCTCGACGCCTTCCCCGAGAAATCCAAGAAGCTGGGAGATCAAATCGTGTCGGATATCAAGGAGCGCTTCCTCTACGTTTTGGACCAGACCAAATGGATGACCGCGGAGGTGAGAAATCTTGGTAAAGAGAAAGTGGCAAACATTATCCAGAAGATCGGCTATCCCACCAAGAGCCCCAATCTGATGGATGCGGGGGACGTGAAGAATTATTACCGGGACCTGAAGGTCTCCAACGAGACGTTCTTTGAGAACACGCTGGCCATGGCTCAATTCCGGGTCAAGCAGCAATGGTCGCAGTTGGGCAAGCCGACTAACCGTGACGAATGGGGCATGACTGCGTCGACCGTCAATGCGTACTACAACCCGCCAGGGAATGAGATTGTCTTTCCTGCCGGGATCATGCAGGCTCCCACTTTCTATGGGCCGAAGGCACCGTTATATCTTGCGTATGGAGCCTTTGGTGCGATAAGCGGCCATGAACTCTCGCATGGTAAGTTCGATTCCAGGACGCTCTTGGGAATTGTTACTCATCCATTGTCGTAGCTTTTGATTCGACCGGCAGACATTATGATCAGACAGGCAATTATACGAATTGGTGGGATGACAACACGGTCGAAGCGTTCGAAGAACGGGCCCAGTGTTTTGTCGACCAATACTCGAATTTCACCGTTCCGGGACCTGAACCTGACTCGGAGCCTCTTCATGTGAACGGACGTCTTACGTTGGGCGAGAACATTGCTGACGCGGGCGGTCTGTCGGCGGCGTTCCATGCGTGGAAGAAGCGTGATGAAGCGTCCCCGGATCCGCTCCTGCCAGGGCTGGACCACTTTACCAAGGAGCAGCTTTTCTTTATCGCGTATTCGAATTGGTGGTGTAGCAAGACTACCAAGGAGGCGGCCATCCGTGCGATCTATGAAGATCCGCATGCCCCCAAACCGGCCCGCATTCAGGTAAGGCGTGGACCTATCCCCAATTTACGTGAGTTACTGACTGAGACGATGCAGGGAACATTGGCCAATTCACGCGAGTTCAAGGACGCGTTCCAGTGCGCAGACCGGCAGCCGACATGCAAGTTGTGGTGATGGATAAGCCACACCGCCCATCATGTTGAAGAAACCAGGATTCGATCTGGTTGGAATACAAGCATGTTGGTATATACGATCGCGAACACGTCAATTCAATACAACTCCAATATTTCCCTTTGCTATGGTGTCATCAGTATATTTTATCTGTTGAATTCGGTGATTTGTATTCAGCTACTTTGGTGATGGGCGAGCAGAGGATAGGCAGGCATCATTGGATTTGGTAGTTCATTTTGGTCTGTGACGCTCGATGTCAATTTAGGTTAAGCTCAGCTCACATTCCAATCCCGATCGATGGGGACGATTTTTCAATCGGAAGTGAGATGCGTGTATGCACGTCATAAACTGGACTGAACTGAACTGGGTTGATCCGAGTCTGGCCCTGCCACCGACCCACTTGTGTCTGTACGGAGTATACACCAGACATGACGATTTCCAGCTGGTTGAGGACAGAGTACATATTCATTTCTCACCGTATCTTCTCCTTGCAGGCTGCCAAATTAGAATACAGGACTGAGGAAGGTTATCTACCCAGGTTTGTGGGGAAGTATCCTCCGTACGGTGCAATTGTAATCTGTAACGGTGGGCTCTGCCAAGGGAGAGAGGGATCGATCCAGTGAGTGGGTACGTCCGTAGTGCTGGGATTTGAAGTGTTCACTTTCTCTTTCTGACTTGTACCTATCTGTACTACTGCACCCAACCAATAGTAAGAACGACCACTGGGTAACTTCGTCCTGTCGCTAGATTCATCGTGACCAGTATACTCCGTAATGATGGTTGCGAGCCATGTGGCCATCCCTTCCACTCCTTTGGCCCCCAAAGCTACCTGAGCATCGAGGATCCGTGGTTCAGACTTGTGAGGAGTCGAAAGTGTTAGCACTTGGGTCAGTTCCTGTTCTTTCTCAACAAACGTCAATCCTTTTAATTTCCCCACTCAATCATTGCCGCCTGGCTGAACACGATAGGATCGTTTACACTGATACCAAACACAGTAATTTGTTTTCCCAAATTTCGAGTGGTGGACCAAGGAACCCGCCTCTCCAGGGACAGCAGGACAACGGGTCCACACGCGAGGTTCCAAAGGTGCCTGCACACAATTGGCGTTAGTGCTATTCCGATCCTCTGGATAAACTACTCCGCAGACAACGGGCCGGCGTTCCGTCTGACATCTCACATCCACAACGCTCATTGCCACCCAACGACTTTGCCATCATGACGATGGAGTTACTCGATCATGATTTATCGCGTTTATCAGATCGATGGCCCGGTCGTCTGTTGGTACGGAGAGCCGGAAGCCAGGCCCATCACCCGCGAGCGAGCGTTGTTGGCGATGATTGGGCGGCCCAGCGGGCTGGTAAGGATCAGCACTGCTCGTCTGGTCGTTGCACCGGCGAGCTTGGCGCGATTGCCAGTCCAGGGCTCCGAATTCCGTCCGGCGTGATGGACGAGCCAAGGCCCTTTTGTTGGAGCCTCGGATCGGTCGATGGGAATCCGTTCCAATGGATCGCTCCGCAACTTACAAGCTGATACGCTTCTACTACAGCGAGCTGCAGGGACGGAGGCTGCTTTCTGGCTCACATACCACCGCCTGGCAGGCATCGGACATAATGTTCTGCAGGCAAGACGGTGAACACACTTGGGCAGGAGCACAACCCTTCCGGACTAGCAGGCGCCACCCAGCCTGCAGCCCCAAAGTTTGGCCAACGGCGCCGGCCCGCCCAGGCCTGCAGCGGCTCCTATTGGGCAGGCGCGCCTCTGCAGGCCGCCTAGCAGCAAGCTCGCGCCTGCCCATGCCCGGCTGCTGCCCGTCACTGCTGCAGCCCCGGAGTGGACGCTGGCGAAGCCGTCCGATGGCACCAAACCAACCACGGGCCCGTGACTCGTGTCACGCTTCTGTATCCCTCGCACCGCACCTTGGATCGATCCCTTTCCTCTCCTTCGCTGCGATCAACAAACGGCCAGCTCTCGCCCGTCCTCGCCGCAGCCACTCATCGCAAGGAGCTGCGGTGCTCCAGCGAGACTGCAGCGCCCCGGTGTCTCAGCCTATGTACGGTACATCCATACATGCCCGCTGCAGAACCCTCGGTGCGTCTCTACGTCTCTTGCTCCCGTCAATCGAGCCGCATTACGTTTGATTGCAGTCGCGACATCGTTCCAGAGCTTTGTTGACGAGTTCCGAACCGGCAGACATACGTCGAGCTTGAACTCAGCTCCCTTGCGCTGGACAGCCCCGAACAATAATACTACATCTTACCTCCTCAATTCGCCCGTATAATTTCCAATTGCCCTTTACACACCCCAGACAGCCAGGCGATGTCACGTCGTACGAATGAATTGGTCTCTCAGCTTTGGCTGCTTGCGCATCCCGCTGGCATGTTCTAGCTGTCCCAGACGTGGGAAAAGCGTTTGCCCTGCTGTGCCGGAGTTACAGGAGCAGCTGAAACTCTCCTCCGGATAGTTGCCGAATCTCGTTCTCTGCCCCGTATCGAGCAATCGCCCTGTCTCCCAGAATGGCATCTTCCACCAACAAAGCGACCCCCGGGCCTTCCTTCGCGCCCTCCCCGTCGAAGCGGAACGATGGGCCGACTGCGGAGTCGCCTGGTACAAGGGCGTCGACTCTGGGGATCTCTGCTTCCATCCGCGGCCAACGGTTCCAGTCCAATCTTCGACGTGCCCAAACAGTCACGCAGCCCGGAGCCACCGGAAAGAAGACTGTCGTCAATAGAGGGAAAGGGGATCTGGCAGCCTCACTGCTTCGGGTGAAGAACAGTACCGAGGTCCTGCGGCAGCGCTCGTTGAAACGGTCAAACCCGCCCCCGGCACCGGATGCCTCGTCCAGCGGTCGAGAAGGGACACACTTCACTGTAGGGAACGTGGGCAACAATGGAAGGATCTATTTGAGGTATGGCGGAGTATACGGGGATATCCCCAACCAAAAGATGTTTCCGTGATGATGCTGTCTCGGGAGTGAGCTGACGTCTGTTTGTGATTGTTCGTCCAGGCCCCTGGCAGATTCATCGCTGAAACGAGCTCATACCCAACCTTTGTCCAGTATCTCCGCGTCGGCTCCTACCAACACGCATCTGCAGCCGCCCAAGCCCGTTGCTCTGCGCGATGCGAGACACAGCATTTGGTCAACTTCTCAGCTCTCAGAGCTCCGTCCCGATTACACTCGGGAAGGCAGCGCGGAACCGAGTGAGTCTGGCGACGCAGAGCATCACAAAAGAGCCCACTCGTTTTCGACCATATCGGAGTATGCGCAATCAACAGACCAGAAACATCGAGGGGAGTTTCGGATTGTGATCGACCGATTCGAGCAGAGATCAGAGTCCAACGACAAACCCTCTTTGCCGGCTCTCGAGGTCCCGATCCCTCATTACCGGTTGGGCACGCTCCAGTTCAACTCCGACGGAATACCGGATCTCCGGAGCTCTATATACACGCGGACCTCAGTGTCAGATAATGTCCTGTCGTCAGTCCCCAAAGAGGACGCTGAAAGCCCCCGAATTCCCCCAGACTCTTATGCTCCAGATTCATTGCAACCAGGGCGGACACTTTCGGTAGCGATGTCATTGTTTTCTGGCGCGGCTCCGAGAAATTCCAGCTCTACGCAGAAATCGGCGATTTACTGTTTGAAAGGACCCATCGAGCCGTCCATCTTTGATTTTCTCATGGAGGACATGGATGACCCGGCCGTAGTTCGATATCTTCCGGGAACAAAAGACATTAGCGCGGCTACACCAGCAAGAATTGTCGCCCAAATTTCTTCGGAATCGTTCATGGACTACGAACTCGTGTCGGACTTTTTCCTGACATTCCGCTCCTATCTATCTCCAGAGACCCTTCTTGCCCTGCTGATGGCCCGGCTTGAATGGGCCATCAATCGGCTGCAAGAAGATGGAAGAATCATTCGGATCCGAACTTTCGCCGCTTTGAGACATTGGATTCTCAACTACTTCGCTGACGACTTTGTTACCAACCGCGATCTCCGTGTCCAGTTTTGCGACAAGATCAACTCCCTGTATGAGAGCGTTAAGAGCCGGAATACTGGTGGCACCAGTGATATCAAGATTCTCGTGGACCTGAAACGGTGTTGGCATGGACGGTGCGTGCTTTACTGGGACTGTCCAGATCTGGCCGGTCCTGACAGCCCGGTCGTTCCAGGAGGGGTTGCGGGGAGTCGAGATGTCAACAAGACAAGGCTCAGCGACACCCACTCGTCCAATGCGGATGCGGTAGTTGACGCTGAACTTGAAGCAGAACCGCCAGCGAACACCGCCGGAGCCGGACTGTTGCGTCGTTCCTCCACCACTCGTATGCGGAACGGCGCCTCAGGAATGGCAAAGAGGCGGTCGACGAGTGACCAGAGTATCCAGGCCCTGTCTTGCTCATTTCCCACGAAGCGATCATCGTCACCCCTAGAGAGGGGTAAAGTGCCTCATCCGGTCCCTATTCAGACGCAATTCCCTTCGCCTTGTTCCAATCCTTGCTCCCCAACCGCTGCAAGTGTCTACCGACACCCATTTCACGAACATAAGCGCAGTGGCAGTTTTTCCGACTCTGCTCGTGATGACCGGGCTCCTCTTTCCCGGGCGAATGCGGATGGCCAGGGACAGTTTCTGTCGCAATCCATGCCAGGCAGCGGCAGTCTCATCCGCGGTAACCTGCTCCCTCCTGTAGATGCCTCTGTGGGAGTGACGTTGCCCCCGTCGCCAACTCTCTTGGACCCGCCCGACGAACCTGAAGCTCTCAAAACTCGAAGCTCATCAGAGGGGAATGTTAAGTCGATTGGGGCCAGCCCAGGTGTTCGGACGATCATCGGTTCGATCCGCAAGGTCTTGCATAGCCGGCAGGGTGGACAGGGCTCTCCTTCTCATACCGCAAACGTGAACCCCTCTTCTCCGCTAAGAGGCAAAACGGCGACCCTCCCTGTGAACGTTGAATTCAGATCTGATCTTTACAAAGATCGAAAAAATCCGCCGTTGTCAAAGAGCTCCTCGCGGATAGACCTTCTTTGCGATAGAGCTATGAAAGACTACCGTGAGGCGCTGGGTATTCGTTCGGAGAAACCCACATATGATATCACGCTCTGTCAAGAAAATGCCGGTCAAGATATTAAATCAGAACCTGATCCTTGCCGGCTGCAGGCTCCGAAACCTAATGACCAACGTCTGTCCAGCCAGGTGACCTCGGGGAGTAAATCGATTGTTATCGTGGATGATACTGGTCTGGATCTTCCTGTGATGTCGGGAGGGGTCGGGTGGCCTCCCGCGGGTAGCGAGAGAAGGGACGATGAACATGGACATAGCGAGCAGTCTTCCATTACCCAGAGAGACCACTCGTCCTCTGAGCACGCAGAAGTCCCTGTTGCCTTCCCGGAACACCACCTCGAACGCTATGCCTTCGCTGCAGACACAATGACCCTGTCCTCCCGACCTTCAACCCGACATCGGCCAAGATCGTTCGCGTTTACTCGCGATGGATCAATTCAAAGGAGCGCTTCCGACTCGAGTCGACTTCGGAAGTATGCTTCTTATCAGAGAAGTATGACACGGCATTTTCCAGAAAGTGCCAGTGACAAGGTTACGTCTGCATCAAGTGAGAATCTGCCAGCAGACCAGCACAAGCCGCTTGCTCGTATGCTTCGTAGGAGACCTGGTGGGGACCTTCGCAAAATTCAGAACGTGCACGATCTGGAGCCACATTTACGACCCCGGTCCTCCGCTTCGGATACGTCTCTCACAGATTCCATTACCACCTCGGCTGCTCCTTATCCTGACCCGACATCACCAGACAGGGCCGCGTCAACTAGATTCTCACTGATCAACACACATTCATCCCAAAATCTGCGGCCTTCGTTTGAAGCCGCAGTCGCGGAGTTCTCCCGTATTCCTGATGACGAGGATGGAGGAGTTGAGTCAACACTCCTGAAGCTCGAAGGAAAGTGGCCGCCGAAACAGTCTCCCAGTGACAGCAACTATCCTTTTGCTCATCACGAAAGTGGAGAAAGTGATCACCATGGTGACAGTCAACAACATCAACAGGAGACTCCTGGCCATCCCACCTGGCTGGAGCAGGGTCCTGCTGGCGATACGAACGGAGCACAGGCCGTGGGAGGTCAACGCATGGTGACCTCACAGCTCTACCCAGAGTCGGTGGCAGAATCGGAATATTCCTACAGCTCCATCCCTCTTCTCGAAAGGGGCCTGAGTGATGATTCAATGAAAAAACCGAAAGTGAGTTCACTTCCGTCCGAGACGGCCATGTCTCGTCCTCCCTTTAGTGGGAATGTGAGTAAGGACACCAATGAACGTGAATCGTCGCATCCATCGATTCAAACTGTCGACGAGACGGAAAGCCTTCGGCGGATTCCTCCTGGTTCAACCGTCCCGACGACTGCGGATTTTGACAGAGACCATCGCTCGGAGCTGTCATCCGAACTCTCGGTTGATGTGATCGAGAAGGATGAAGCCCGTGAGGACTTGAGCAGCAGAACTTCGAGAGACTCACGGGGCCTGGCAATTTCTTCGCTCGACATACCCCCACATCCCCTTGCCCATCCTCCTTCTCCTCCGATAACTATTCCGCAGAGAGTGTCGACAGTGCCACATGCAAAGCCGGAAACTCCAGTGGCGCCTCAGGCGCAGCCTCTGACTCCTGGTCCGTCTCCGACTCGCAAGAACGGAGGTAGTCCTCAGAGGGGTGTTGAGACGCAGCAGACATCGAATGACACTACCTGTATTCAAAATCCGCAGCAACCCCGTCATGTCCCATTCGTCCTTGCCTGTGATTCTCGACTTCTCGCACAACAGTTGACACTCGTGGAGAAGGCGGCATTAGACGAGGTCGATTGGAAGGATCTTGTCGAGATGAAATGGAACAATAACTCATCCTCGGCGTTGAATTGGGTCCAGTTTCTAACCGAACAAGAACGGAAGGGGATTGATCTGGTTGTGGGCCGTTTCAACCTGATGGTGAAATGGGTTCTCTCGGAGATTGTCCTCACTCGAGATATCCACGAACGGGCTCAGACTATCACCAAATTCATCCACGTGGCGGCCCATGCTCGGCGAATTTGCAACTATTCCACCATGCTTCAAATTGCTATTGCCCTGTCCTCCGTTGATTGCACGAGACTGCGAAAGACCTGGGAGCTAGTCAGTCCGGCAGATAAGCGTCTTCTCAAGGGCATGGAGAGCCTCATACAGCCTGTTCGCAATTTCCATGAGCTCCGCGTCGAGATGGAGACTGCCAACTTGCAAGACGGCTGTATACCCTTTGTCGGTATGTTTCTTTGGTTAGTTGATTTGAGTTGTATGTATTGTGCGCTGACTCCACAACGCAGGCCTCTATGTCCATGACCTCACGTACAATGCGCAAAAGCCTTCACAGGTCGCAGGCACCCGTGATGGAGACGCGCTTGTCAACTTCGAACGGTACCGCACCGCCGCCAGGATTGTCAAATGCCTGCTTCGTCTGATTGACGCAAGCAACAAGTACACGCTGGAGCCTGTCCACGGCGTAATTGAACGGTGTCTTTGGATCGCATGCCTTTCTGAAGACCAAATCCAGGCGCTCAGTAAAAGCCTGGAATGATTGATGACTTGGAGTTTTGTCTCTTGCTTTATCTTTGTATACACCATATCCATGTTTCGCGCATTTCCTTGCGGTCTTCCCAGCCATTTGCGTTGTTCATATGGTGCCCTCTGAGTTTTGCCGTCTGCTTTCATATGCATATTGTGTCTTGGACCCGAGTGTTGCTGCATCTAGGTTCTGGTTTCTGGTATGATCTAATTACTATCTATATACCTCTCTGTCTATTGTTCTGGTCGTCTTTGTTGGACCGTCTGAAGCTTATTACACCGCGCATTTTCTGGCGTGTTTGTACAGACAGTATATACCATACTAATACAGTCTCGAAGAATTCCTGGACAGTGTTAATTGACGTCTTTTCCAATAAATTTCCAATAATATTATTAGGAATAATACTAATAGTTTTGCGTGCCGGTGCCCTGATCAATATTCACTCCCCTGCGTGGGGAAAAAAAAAAGCGTCCCACGAGGAGGTCACGTGCGTCGAGGTACCCCTGTGCATGATTTAGTACAGGTGAGAAGACCCCACGAAAAAAGCTGAAATGTGCTAAAGCGGGTTTAGTGAGATCAGGGCGCAGTCATTTAGCCAAGTCCAATAAGGTGTCTATTGTCAAGTAACAGAGGACTCGTAGCAGAAATCGAATTGATACCTAACTTGGAGGCGGTGTTCCCGCCCCGGGTTGTTAAATTAGGCACGCTGGTCGACGACACTGCGTCATTTCCGATGGGGTAATGGACATGCAGAGCACCCGACTGCCTGCTCAACGTCCACAGCCACCGTCGTATCTGCTCCACGGACCAGATCCCCAAACGAGCCTGACAAGCTGAGGGCGCTGCTCCATTCGCACATTGATCTCTCTCTCTCTATGGAGGAGGCGTCCGCGAATCGTTCTTCGGTTTCAGTTTTGATCCATCGACCTCGCAGTTGATTCTCGACTACTGACACCACACGATGGACTTTGAGAACCCCCCTCACGGGGGTTCGCCCGAATCCAAAGACGGTGGCACCGCGCCAGAAAAGCCCCGTGTTCTTCCTGATGACCTCCCAAAGTCGCTGGACGACCGACGCACTGTGCCCGAGTACGCGGGGGAGACAGAGATGTACGATGGCTGGCAAGGTTCGTCCGTTCGCATCTGGATCACTGTCACATTGCATTTCCTTCAGACGCGCTCATCTGCTGACTGATTTGCGACTTTTTTTTTCTAGGCCAATCTCAATATTTAACAGCGCCGATGGCTACGAAGCCTTTGACGTTCAATCTTGCCCTCGATGACAACTCCCACGATGAAGAGCATGAACTACAGGCACGATATTCTCGGGGATACTACGGCGATGATGAGTCCACTACGGCGCGCCTGGAGGACAGCGATGCCCGCTTGATGGAGATGCTGGCCGCACAGGCGGCGCACCGAGAGATGGATTCCTTGGGCACGGATGAGGATGATATTGCCACGGACCCCAAACTGCCCGATGCGGAGAAGAGGAATATCTTACAGAAGAGTCTGAACATGGCTGCCAGCAACGGCGATGTGGAGCGCGTGCGCAAATTGGTCAATGGGAAAGCGCGCGATTATGTGGATGTGAATCAGCCCGATGAAGAAGGAACGGTTCCATTGATATACGCCAGCTGTTTTGTGAGTATTCCTTGTGCAACGGATCGACTATACCGCCTGGAAGGCCGCTGACTCAACCAGGGCCATCAAGAAGTCGTATCGGCGCTCCTCGACGCGGGCGCGTATGTCGATGCGCAGGATCGCAACCAGTGGAGCGCATTGATGTGGGCCATGACCAACCGACACAAGACGATTGCGAAGATTCTCCTGGATCATGGCGCCGACCCGGACATCAAATCGTCATCTGGAGGGACGGCATTCGATTTCCTCCAACCGGGAACAGACATCTCCCAATATCTGCAGGAGAATGGCTATCACTTCGGTTCAAGTACCCTCGAGAATGATTTCTACGATTCCGGCTTCGGGCAAGACCGCTTCGAAGAAGAGATGGCCGAAAATGAAATGAAACGGCGCATGATGATGGAGGAGAGTGCCATCAATCTGGAGGTTGATCTGTCGAGTCTGGGACTTGACGAGAAGTTCGACGTATGTTGACTGTCTCTTTCACACCGTGTGGGATTCCGCTGACTTGGATTATAGTCGATGGATGAATTTGAAGACGATCAGCAGGAATTCGTCTGGGACAAGTGCCTGAACGATCAAATGTTCGTCTTCCAGGAGAGTGAACTGGATAAGATCCTGGACATTATCATCACCAATATGACGCCGCAGCGCTCGCCGTCTCAGAAGCCGGTGCCGGCCAATCTTATCTTCCTCAGCGCGCGGTACGCGCATTACCATGCCAGTCCTGAGCTGCTAGAGAAACTTCTCATGACGGCAATGGATAAGATCAACGACGTGGTGGAGCGCCACCAGTGGGACATGACAATTCTCGCTTTTTGGATTTCCAATGCGACGTTGCTCCTCCATTACCTAAAAAAAGACGGGGGACTGATGGAATCCACCGTGGAATTCCAACTACACCTGGCAGAGTTGATCAACGAGATTTATATTCTAATTATCCGGGACGCTGAACGACGGATGAACAAGGTGTTGGACGCGGCCATGCTGGATCATGAGACGATCCCTGGACTTGAGGACGTTCACTTCCAGAACGAGTGGAAGATCTTCCGCTCCAAGTCCAAGGCAAAGCCCGAGCCACCAGAGAAACGCTTCCGTCCGCCGTCCCCAAAGCGAAGGGCGCAAATCTCCCCTCGCAACATCACCTCTTTACTTTCCTCCACCCTCTTTGTCCTCGATCTCTACGATGTTCACTCTGTCATCACGACGCAGATCATCTCGCAACTGCTGTATTGGCTTGGTGCCGAGCTCTTCAACCGCATCATGTTGACCAAGAAATACCTAGCGCGAACAAAGGCCATGCAGATTCGGATGAATATATCAGTGATAGAAGACTGGGCCCGGGCGAATAACCGGCATCCGGAGCACTACGAGAACGGGTCCATGACGACGACGGGAGAGTCGACGGTCGAATCGGCGCGAAAACATCTGGCGCCAGTCATCCAGCTGCTGCAGTGGCTGCAATGTTTCTCGTCTCTTGGGGACGATACGGAAGCGCTGGTGACGACGCTGCTGCAACTGCAACAGCTGACCCCTACGCAGCTGCTCCAGGCCGTGAAATCGTACCGGGCCGAGGTTGGTGAAAAGGGGCTCACGAAAAACGCGATGAAGTTCCTTATCAACCTGCAACACGACCCGGATCTGTTATATCGGGAGAAGCAACGGATAGAGCGTGAAAAGGCGGCGTCGGCGGCGTCGGAGCAGGGCGATGCTCCTCCAGCTACGCCTCAGACGGAGCAGCCTCCACCGCCTCCGGAGAAGGACGATCGATCGGCTGTGCAAGAGCCGACTACGCCGTCGGCCCATCACCCTACGTCGCCGCCATCAATAACGTCGCCGCAGCCGGCCACTTCGGGACCGGAAAGCTACCTGCTCGATCCGTCGCTGACACTTCCATTTTCGTTGCCGACCAGTACGGACATGCTGGTGAGCTACGGTGCCGGGTTTGGAGGGACGAACCGGGAGCGGGCGCGCAAGTACATTCCTACGGTGCCGCCAGAAGTGCTCAGTCGGTTTGATCGGGTGTGAACATACTAGTAGTCGGTGCCTACCTATGTGGATCAGGTAGTAGTAGCTTATACATGATATGATACCTTGTATCTGGTTGAACTAGGGAATATATACCTTTGGCGTACAGCAAGATACCTTAACCAGGACAAGGCTGTAGAGAAAGCTTAATCCCACGCGGGGTTGACGTCTGGTCTTTTAGCCTTATTCAAGTTTTATCTTAAAAAAGGGAGTTCAATTCCAAAATGATGCTCGGCAGACAGATTTATTATCCCTGTGTTAGGGGGGTAGATTTTTCATTCATTCATTCATTCTTTTTTTTTCTGTAAAGTCCAGTTTGATATACTTACTTGAGTACCTGTCTGTATATTTGCAAGAATAGCCATAAACCGATCTATATAGGTAGATATGGGTATATAGAATGGATACTAAGTATCAATGACGAGATAATCTAATCTTGGTGGAGTCCCTACTACTTCCTATTAAAGCAGCAGAAGGAAAGGAGGCAGGGAGGGGAGGGTAGTGATCGTTATTAAGTGGCGTCATCATTAATTCATTATTAACTATGAAATGAATGCATGACGTTGGAAGCTGTGGTTCAGACATCCTGGTAGCTATTACTTAGGATGGTGATAATAATAATGACAATAGTAATTACAATGGTAATAATCAATCTGAGACAGACAAGCTCATCGAGGATTAATAATATAGTAGTAATTTCCACTGTGATATTTCTTTCTTAAGTACAGGCCAAAGCTACTCCTATACCAGTATTAGGTCCGTACCTAGGTTATCTACAGACCTGGGTAGGTACCTAGTACTGCTGTCTGAGTCTAGCCGCCAAGAGATAATTTCAGAGCTTATTATTGATATCTCCATTCGGAAGGAAGGTTTCCCTTTCCAGTCTAGAGGGGCACCGTGTGGATCACTGCTTACGTTGCCCAACATCAATCAGGAGACGCGGCGCATGGGATCTGTTTCATTGTTGTATTGTTGAGTCGAGGAATGGATGAGGGTATCTTCATCTCGGAATGTTATCATTACTAGAATACCTGTAGATTATGTAGCTAGTTCAGGTCTGTGCTGTATCAACCTACCAATTCCTGCTCATATGCACTGTGCATACATGCACATATGACTATGTACTTCTTGTCCTGCCAAGCAAACCTGACTAGGATGCGAGGTCATAGTGCATAAGCTCTCTGTCTAGTCTTGCCGAGGATACCCCAATCGTTCCTAGTCGCCAACGCCAAGGCCGCCATTGCTCAATCCACCAGCGTGGAGCCTCGCACTAGCTGTCTTGGGCAAGGAATACGGTTGCATCTGCAGCGCACCCCGTGACAATAACCCAAACAGGCTTCGACTGCTCGAAAAAGCTTCCGAGGGTGCTCTTCGCAGCAGCATGTCGCGAGCGCCGGCACGCAGGACGCGCTCATAGGGCCGTGACAGGGCCCCGTCGGCCAATGGCAGCCGCTGCCGATGGGTTCCGCGCGTCCGCTGGCTAGCCTGTTCACCTGCAGGAACCTCTCTTCTCATTAAGCGAGCAGGGAACTTCCCCAGCCGACTTCCGCGTCGTCAGCTACCTCTGCTTTTAGCTGTTAGCAGCCTGTCAGCCACATGGCCTCCCGCACTGTCCCCAAGCGGTTAGAGCATCCATGCAGGCGCTCGATCACGACGCGTGCCCAATCGCACGCGCCCTCCTGCCCGGGATCCCCGCGGCCAGCGAGTTGCCGGAGTTCGGCAGCGCTGCAGAAGCCCATTCAGCAGCAGACAATCTGCGACATCTGCTCCACCGCCAGTATCTATTCATTAATCTACGATCCCACGCTCATTTCGTTTCCTGGCCAAGCGCCCTCTAGCCTGCCATTAGCCGCGCCACGCGTGGCCCCGGCGGCCTTCCAGAAGGCTCGAACGAGCCCTGGAACGCGTCTCCAGCTCCGTCCCGCGAGCCTAACTGCTCCAAGAAAACGGGTTCCGGAAGCGCCACTTCCCTTCTTGGCTGCCATGCCATTTCGCGTGCATACGCCATGCCGGCTCCGGCCAATCCCGCCGCCCGCGCTGGGCCTGCGTCGGACTTTATTTGGAACTGAGTCGATACGGCTGACGAGCCGGTCTTCCCTGGAGAGAGCTGCCCGCCGCCCGTGCGCATCCATCGTGAAATTTCGTCGAGCAAGCAAGCATATTTATTCCTGTGCAAATGGAGACGCCGCCAGACCACTTCCTCCCTCCGTTCTGCCCCATTCCCTTTTTATTTAGCCTTTCTTTCTTTCTTGTTTGCGTCCCGTTCTTTTCGTTTCCTTTTCGTTTCGTGTCTCTCCCTTTTGCTTCTCTCGCTTTGTTTCTCGCCTGCCTGCCCGCATTTGCATTGCATTGCAACTCTGCGGAAGTGGGATCCGGCCCGGCCTCCCGCCAAGTCGGGGCCGCTTTGCTGCTCGCCTCGATCGACTGGTCCGATCGTGGTCTCGCGTTTGCCTGGGCATTCCAGCACCGGCAAGCAGGGCGTGCGCGTTGCCGTTGATGAGACGCTCTGCTCCATCATTGTGATTCTCCGGGGGCCGTGCTTTGCCCAGACCATTGCTCAGTCAGCAATCCCGGCTTTGCGTCGTCTTTCGTTGCCTCTGTTCTTTGGTCATCGTCGGCCCGGCAATACTCCCAGTGGACCGATGCTTACTGATTGATGATTGACTGACTGATTATTGATTGATTGATTGATCTGGCTCCATTTGAGTCTGCTCCTACCCAAGTAGGCAGTTCCCACGTCCCGCCAGCCGCGCGTTGGCCTGAAACAGTTAGAGGCGGGCGCGTTCCGAACGAGGTAATTGCAAGTCGCTCTTTCCCGATCAGTCCGCCCCTCGTACCCTCGCCGGCTGCCCTTGCCTTCTTGGTCTGTCTTGCGCGGCGGCGGAGATCTTCCTCGCAGCAAACGCTCCTTCTCTTGCGCTCCTGCACTCTTTCCTTCCTTTTCGTTGCCATTGCCTGGGGCGCTTTCTTTTCTTGTCATTTCCTTTCTTTCTCTCTCCTCGGCTTGGGGTTTGTTCTCGCTTATCTGATCGGCCCCAGTCAGCTTGGTTCGTATTGTATATGATCTTGCTGTCTTGGTTCTTGTTTTAGACTGTCCTCGTCATTTTACCTTTTCTTCGTACATATTGGTTTTTCGCCTGTCTTGACATTTTTTTTTTTACTTTGAATTTTTTTTAAAAAAAATTTTTCAATCGGGATCATTTCTTTGTTTCTGCCCTCCCGCCAGCTGCTTTTGCTCCCCCGTCCTTCATTGCAAACGCTTCGCAGTGATACCCATGTTACTCACACTCAAACCGCCCGCTCAGAACGGAATCAAAGGTCCTCATGAATACTCCGTCATTCGACAGTCTGTCCCGGCTTCCCGATCCTCTTCTACTCCTGTCACGGCCGCCTCTCCTTCGACCACAGCCTCTGCGAAACCATCCCCAGAGCGGCCGATGGACAACTCCCGTAGAGGTCTTCCTCCCCCGCCGGCCATGAGTCTCGCTCCCGAGCCCAGTCTACCCGCCGTCAGTCAGCTTCCCCCTCCCCCGCCGCAATGGCACAATTCGGACGAATCCATGCGGCAATGGCTGCAGGCAAAGGCCGAGGAGGACCGGAGACGGCAAGAAGAAGAGCGAACGCGCCAAGAGAGCCTCAGGCTAGAACAACGAAGGATTGAGCAGAGCATGCTCCGCGACTCGTTGCAGGCGGGCGTCCCGCCGCATATGGTGCCATTGATCTTCGTCGGACTGGGTGCAGGAAATCTGCCTCGCGCGACCGTGGACGCCATCCAACAACTCGTCGACCAGACCAGTACCCAAAGTCAGCCGCCGCAACACCAACGTCCCCCGCCGCCTCCCCCGCCGCCGCCATCGTCGTCCCAAGCGCCGCCGCCTCCATCCCATGCATTACCACCGGAAGTGCGACGGGACAGTCGGGGCATCCCACCGAATCCATACGGAGCACAGGCAGGGGCTCCCCTTCCGGCACCGCCTCCTCCTCCGCAGGGCGTGCCACCGTCGCCCACGCAGCAGCCGTATGGTCAGAGTCAGCAACCCCTATTGCATCCGCAGCCTGCTGATCCGCGCGCCCCTCTCTCAACCCTATCGCGCATCAATACGGCGGAAATACACATCCAACCTCCTCCTCCGAATGTAGGCGCAGGACAGTATCAACCGGGTGCGGCTGCACCGCCGCCACCTGCGGCACCCGTTAAATCGGAAACGCAGCAGCAACAGTCTCCTTCCATCTATTTCCACCACTGGGTTCCGCCAGGCCAGTCACAGCCTACGACGCCGTCCGGGAGAGGACAGCAGGAATCCACACCTTCCTCGCAGTCTCATCTCCGGTCGGAATTCCAGAGCTCCCCTGGGAGGAAACGCAAGGCTCAGGGCTCTCATCCGCCCCCTCCTCCACCGTCGTCACAGCCTACCGAACCATCCCAGTCACCGCGACATGCGACCCCGGCGCGGCGCGGACCCGGCCAAGGACATCTCCGTCAGCAGAGTGACACGAGTCATGAGCCCCGTTATCAAGAGTTTCAGGGGTCTGAGCAGGAGAGTGCACATCGGCAAGCCCGATCGGGTCAGTCCATCATTAATCCAGCACCTCCTCCCTCCGAGAGAGATCCGATCAGGAGGAGCAGTGGCTCAGGTCCCGAGACTCAACCAGTTAGTGACGGGAGGGAACAGCATCCCGTGTCGGCGCCCAGCGCTCCACAGAGCCGCTATGGGGAGCCCCAAACCTCCCAACCTGGTGGGTACGGCGGCTATCCTTCCCACGATAGCAGTCGCCGATAACTTGACAACGGCGGCGGTAGCAGCAGCAGCAGCAGCAGCAGCAGCAGCAGCAGACATGCCAGCACTGCAAAATAGTGCTCTAGAAGTACTTGGACATTTGATACCCTTTTGGGTGAGGAGTGGTTTCAGTTTATCTTTTTTTTTTCCCTTCAACGGGTTTCCTGTCTTGTCCTTTATGGAGGGATTCTGGCGTCCTGCCTTACTTCGTGGACATATCTATACTCTTTGATGATCTTTCGGCTGGTTCCGACAAGGTCTGTATAAAGTTTGGCTGGTAGATATTGGATAGAAGTAGCTGGATATCCAGCTTCGTTGCAAAGGTTTCCAAAGTATATTTTTCTGTCGACAGGCGGGTGAAACAGAGAAAAATAGAGGCAAACAGTTGTCAGGTCAATTAACGATGTACAAGAGACAAAATTAAGGGCGTATTTCTTTCCTTCGGAGATCTTAATCATTCCAGGTTAAATATCATCGCCTCTACCATATACTACCATATACATAGAAACATTAATGACTGTCAGTACTTTAAACAAGAAAAGAAAAAGAAAAAGAAAAACGGGAATATGGTGGAATGGACTATGAATGTAAAGCCCGCTTAGAAAGTGGATAGTAAAGAAGCCAGCCAGTCAATCAGTCAATCAGTCAATCAATTAGTCCTTGGTATAAACAGACAGACAGACAGACAGACAAACCAGGTAATATATATACGTATATATAGTTAGTTTTTCCCTATCTATAAACATATTTACATGAAGAAGTGCATGGAAATTATAACGAAAGTAAAGACTAAAGGGGTAAAAAAAGAAAGAGAGAGAGAGAAACAGAAACAGCAGCGAAGGTAGGTAGATAAGAAATAAGAAATCAGTAGGGAAAGTAATGTATCTGAGACTGAGCAAGTAGGATGATGGATGATGAAGGAAAAGTGTCAATGAGTGTAGTGTATTAAAAAGCAAATGATTTAAATATAAGGAAAGAAAATGAAATGAAAGGAGTGATGTAGGATCGACACATAAACCTATGGAGGGTTTGTAGGGTTACCCTCGATGTTTCTGCTGCTGTTCCTCTCATTGTTGGTGCTGTTGTTACTGCCACTGCTAAAAACACCAGACCCAGTCTGCATCTGGTCTGGACATCGTTCAATCTCCTCCTCATCAACCGCGGGGATCGTTGCTGTTGCGGGAGCAGCAGGTTTTGCCTTTACGCTCCGCCACTCCAGCAGCAACGTCGAGACAAACGCCAATCCCGCCAAAGGGACCGCCGCGACAAACACCTTCTGCAGCGCCGCGTTGTACACGGCGATCATGGCCGGAAGGTCGGCCGGGTCGATCGTGGAGCGGAACTTGGTCGCGCCGGCCGCGATGACGGCTTCGATGTCGATGCCCGGCAGCTCGTTCGCGTGGCTGGCCCGGCGGAGGTCGTTGGACAAAATGCTGTTGCCGATCGAGACGAAGACCGCGCCGCCCAGGCTCTGGAAGCAGGTCACTGCCGCCGTCGCGATGGGGATCTGTTCCAGCCGGAGCACGGCCTGCACCGCGGTGAAGCTCTGCTGGATCGCGATGCCGACGCCCACGGCTGCCAGGAAGACGTAGCCGACCCACTGCGCGGTGGTGGTCGTGGGCTGTAGCGTGCTCAGCAAGCCCGATGCCGCCGTGGCGATGGCGCAGCCGATGATGGCCGGCGGCGTGAAGTAGCCCGTCTTGGTGACGAAGATGCCGCTGAGCAGGCTGAAGATGGCGTTCGGCAGGACGAACGGGAGCATGTCCACGCCCGACCGCTCCGTCGACACGCCCTTGATCGCCTGGAACCAGATGGGGAGGTAGTAGCCGTGCAGCAGCATGGTGCCGTAGATGAAGAAGGCCATGATGCAGCTTCCGGCGACGGTGCGACGCATCAGGATGCTCGGGTCGATCAGGGCCCGCTCCTTGCGGTGCCACTGCCACGCGATGAAGACGAGAAGCGTCGCGGCAAATCCGCAAAGAAGGCCGACCACTAGCGGGCTGGACCATGCGTAGTCCTTGCTATTGTATTCCAAGGCCAGGAACAGCATCACAAATGCCGCGAGTACAAGGAAGCTTCCTGCGATGTCGAGCTGCAAGAGCCTTCGGACGAAGCCATTGTCGCGGCTGCGTTGCTTGGATGACTTGAATAAGAACACAATCACTAGCATGGTGACGCTGCCAATGGGCAGGTTGAAATAGAAGCTATGCAGTTAGCATCCCAGTCTGAAGAGAACGTCATCACAACTTACCACCACCGCCATGTAACCATGCCCGTGAACACGCCACCGAGGATGGGACCAGCAGCGGCCCCAACTCCGTACCTAGTACGACATTAGCATATTGCAAACTTGTCACGAGGAAAAGAGCCTACATCACTCCGATAGCAGCCGTATACAGAGGCCTCATTTCCAGCGGCACAGCGTGGGCCACCATGACGAATGCGCCCGTTAGGATTCCTGCACTTCCCCAGCCTGCAATAGCTCGGCCCACGATGAGGGCTGTCGAATTCGGAGCAATGGCACAGATCAGACTGCCCAGCTCGAAGACTGCCACGGAGTGGAGGAACGTCCACTTGACGTCGAACAGGGTGAAGATCCGTCCATAGGTGGGTTGTAACGCGCAGGCAGTGACGAGATATGCAGAGCCGTACCATCCGACGGCGGACGTCGAATGGAATTCATTTGTGATCGAGGGAATAGCCTAGTTGCATAAGTAGTGATTCCAACACAGAAAAAGTACACTCGGGGACAAGGCTTACCGTCGTAATAATAGTCCTGTCCAGCGATACCAGCAAGACGGCCAGACAGATCCCAGCGATCAATAACGAGAGCACGACAGCGTGCTGATCGTGAGGGTTGTTTCTTTCCTTTTCGTCTGATCCTTGCGGTTGCTGTTCTGCAACAGCACCATCCAATTGAGCTTGTTCAGGATGGGGAGGCTTCTTTTCCTCCCCCGTTGTCGGATTTGGCGAGCGCAAACTATCTTTGACCTCTGCGAAGTCATCTTCTAGTTTCGAGTCCCTCTTTGTCGTCGTCTCGAGCTTCGCTGAGGCTGCGTCCCGGATGGTGCCATCTTCCGGGGCGTCGGAGAATTGTCCGTCTTCGTGCTCAAAGGATTCTTCGTCTTCACTTGAGCTTTCCGGCACGGGCGACAACGTCTGCGGTGGCGTCGACTGCTCTATGCGTACCTGGAAAGGCGGCCCGTCATAGAGCAGTTTTCGTATGGGATCAGATGGTTCCATAGACGGCATTGTCTCAGCTGGGAAGTATTTGCCACGATGTCTTGCACCGGTAGAAACAAACGAATGACTTTCAGGAAGGAAAAAGCTCAAGCAAATATCTTCAGTCAAGACATGGATTGATTAGCGCTGAACAATGCCAGAACGCCGCCGTGAGTCCGTGTCATGGGGAGAAGGAATTCGACGACACGAGAATCAGCTGCTTCAACGCGACGACGATGTCATCTGGCTGGTATGAAGGATGGACTTTGTTGGAGACAGACAATTCCACAGGGGGCCAGTCCTACGTTCCGATCCCTAATCGAGCTTTGTAGTTCCTAGTTCCTTGTTGCCTAGTTTGCTAGTTGCCGTGCTCTGTTGACAGTTGACTAGGAAGAGAAGCGGTGTCTGAAGGTGGACCACGGCCGCATCACGAGAAATAGTGGAACCAGACGCATGCGTAGGAATCAGTAGACTCGAGGCAAATATGCATCACGCAGGAAGTCTTCAGGAAATCTGCATCTCGTCTCCACTCTGGGCAGAAACCCTGTAGAAGGGGATGAAGGCCCTGTCGTTCTTCAGCTGCAGGGAGCATTGGCGCGTTGCCAGAGATGAAGACCGTCACGCGCAGGAACAGGGGGCCAACGTGCCCTGCAGGTGGTAGTTGATTAACTCCTAGACAGGAACAGGCAAAACTAAATCGAAGCACAAATAGGACTAGGTAAGGGCTAGAATATAGCGAGCTATCGATCGGTGAAGTCGGAATAAACTGGTGGCCCCCTCGCATGACTAGTACTAGTGATTAATTTAGGGCTGGATCCGATCGATCGATCGGAGGGCGTTGCAGATCGGTATCGATAGCTGGTTTGTTACGGCGCCGTTACGCGTATTGCTACGGTACGCCGTACTATACAGTACATCGTACAGGCATACGTCCTCGTCCTTCAATAGATAAGGATGCATATTCATTAAACTAGCTTATGCACTTGGCATTTATTCTATAGTACCAGTAACATGCAAGGACTTGCACTGAAACTAGGAATTATGATCTTCATCCAGTCTCCTTTCCATGTGGAGATGGACGTACTATTGTTATGTAGGAGCCAGGAGGACAGATACGTAGCAGAGGATTCTCTTGAAAGGATAACGCGATGGACAGTCCTTGGCAGGGGAGCATTCTGACTTCTCTTCGGTAGGTATGAGGCAGTTGGATAGGCAGAGGCAATTCAGGTACATGATTCCCTAATCCCTACTTAGGATTCTGACCTTTCTTCTGTCACAGCGAACAGAAGAGCAGGACTGTTCATCTGTGGTCGTCGCAGTCAAAAGCCATCGACCACGTCCAGCGCATCCTTTTGAGGGCATGATAGGATTGTGTTCGAGTACGCCTTCACAGAATCATCCGGCATATGTCTACATGCCCACCATGTCGCTGAGCCCGTTGCCCTTCCATCTCGGTGACTTCTCCATCCCGTCATCGTGGATCTGGACGCTGCTTTTGACCATCGTCGTCCTGACCAATTTCAAGTGCCTCCCGCTAGCATGGCATGTGAGTATGTTGGCTGAATGTTCAGGTCCAGTTTCACAGTTTCTGACAGCACGCCGTCTGGTAGATCCGCGTGCTTCGAGGATATCGATACCTGCTACGATCCAACCGGCCGAGGGATGGTCCTACGCCCGCGCAGCTCTTTCAGCCGCTGATCATTTCGTCGGGGAATTCGCTGTTTGAATTGGACTATAACATACACAGTAAGCTTTTTTTTTCTTTCGATTGCAACGGTTTAGGACTTCGACTCATGCTCGCAGAATCGAACAGCACCTACTTCGCCGACCTGGACATCGCGCGATGCCATCTGATGTGCACGCTGTTCTCGCGCGGCGTGGACTACGCGCGCAACGCCCGAAAACGAGCCGGCATTCTGGGCGTCTCTGACGATCTGATCGGCCTAGCCCTGGGGGCTGTGAGCTGCACCTTCCGGAAGGAAGTGAAGCCGGGCCAACAGTACGAGATCTGGACGCGCGTGCTCACCTGGGATGAGAAATGGATGTACATCGTCTCACACTTTGTGCGCAAGGACGTCGTGCGACCGCGCTCCTTCACTTTCATGTCCAGCCAGTCTCGTGCTCCTCGACAGGGAAAACTCAAGGATCTGGCGGGCAAAGAAGACGCCATCTTCGCCTCCGCACTGAGCAAATGCGTCTGGAAGAAGGGCCGTCGTACGGTCCCGCCGGAGATCATGCTGCAGGTCTCCGGCCTGCTGCCCGCTCGACCAGGACAGGAAGACTTCGTGGCTGCCCTGTTCGACGAGCCGCTGGGCAAGCTCACGTTCTCCAAGCAGGCGGAGGAATACTACGACATCCCGTTCAAGATGCTCGAGAAGATCGAGACGGCGTGGGACACGCTCAAAGAGCACTTTGTCTCGATGGAGTCGGATGAGCAGACCGAAGAGGAGGGCCTGATCAAGGATATGCATATGGGTCGTCGCCAGCGGCGCACAGAAGAATGGACCTGGGAACGGGTCGAAGCTGAAAGGCAACGGGGTATGGAGATCGCCAAGTGTCTTGCGCAGCTGGACCAGCTGCATGGCGAGTTCTCTGCCGATACAGACGCCTTGGCATGGCGACGAGATTGGTGGTGAGAAAGGAATATCGGTGTAATTTACTCAACTTGGACATCTTCGAACAGCTGGACTATAGGCTGTACTGTCCTATAATATAATATCTACTCTGCATCACCATGTCTCATCTCTGAAACGGCATGAAGCAAGCCAAGCGTTACGTAGATGCGTACCTGATAAACGACGAGCTAAGCAGGAACTAAGGACATAGGTAGCGATTCCACATCTGAGACACGGTCTTTGTATATTGCAAACTCGGTGTTTGCCATCACACTCTGTCCATACTCAATAGTTCGATAACCATTGCATATGACATATCCGGCCAACTAGCGACTTGGCACATGTGTCTGACTCTGGCATCTGGAGCCATAATCATGGTACAGTAGTATGTGCAACCATATGCTTATCGTCTCCATTGATTGGATTGCATGCAACATGGCGAAGGTTGACATGGCTTCTTGTGTTCATTCTTTCTCCTGCTTATAGATATACTTTATTTATCTACCAGAAGTCGACCAGTAAATATCAGAAACATCATGTTCTCTGTACAGAATAGAATAGAAATAGACATGCATTACGGCATTACTATTGAGCTCCTTGCATCTGCAATACCGATTCTGTATCATACACCTGCATGTACAGTGCATACTACAGTTTCATAGTTCATATTACCTCTGTGCTGGATCTGCATCACATGGAAAATGATGTATGGGACCGAACAGGGTTCTTACGGGAAAACTGCCTACCAGATAAGGTATAATGTGTATTTGATATAAATCATAAGCATATAGGTGGCATGTATTTAGGACGGTAGATATAGATACAGGCTGATAAATTAACAATCGGTATAGTGTAGAACAATCACATGAGTTACGCCACGTGTGCCAACAAGAGCTTCGTTCAGATATCATATGAATGATGATAAGAGGAACAGAAACTATCGAAATATAAAATAACTCCCAGCGCCGAGCGCGTCAGCAAAAAATAATCACAGAATAATGGTCATAAAATCTTAGAAGAGAAAAAAAATAAATCGAAGACGGATATTAAAAAAAAGATTGGAACCAACGAAGGGAAGTCGAAGAGAAGCCAAGACACGAATGTAAAAATACCGAGCTGTAGTTCTTCTAGCCTGTTTATTCAATCTCCCGTCAGTGAATCGCTGGCGACCAACCGCCCTGCCCGTCTACCCCAAGACGAATATAAAAAAAAATCCAGAACGGTCTTGAGGTTCTGCCTGTAATCATACCCAAGTCACAATACCACCCAGACTTGCCAGTACAGCCAAACCTCCCATTTAATCATGCTGTCTCTGGATTGCTGACGCAGCCCACTGCCCCTTGCTGGATTCAACCATGTCCATGCTCGCAGGCCCGAAACGACTGCGAGCAGACTTGAGCGTTTCCGCCGCTCGTCCAGTCGCAGTAGCGGCTCCCTGCTCCTTGGCGGCTGACTGGGCGGCAACCTGCTTGCGATTCTTCTCCACTGGCTTCTTGTAGGTCGAGATGTAGAAGCAAATAAAGAGCATCAAGTACGAGGTGAGGATCAAACAACCAGAAGCTGCAGCAAAGAGCTCACCCTCACACCGGCCGATATGGAAACTGTGGTATCCCCATTCATCCGCGTAGTGATCCCAGGTTGCGAAATAGACGAATCCTGTGCAAGATGACCTCATCAGCTTCTCTTCCTTTATCGACTGCCGTGTCTGGAGATCGTACCCAAATCGAGAATGAACTGGATAATCTGCAACCGAGTGATCCACTCCTTCCACCAGATGCGGATCCCCCGTGCACTCTGGAAGTAGTACCAGTACATGATCACGTGCACAGTCAAGTTCAGCGTAATGGGAACCCATGAGAGCGGTGTCCTGCCAATGAGTTGGGTGTAGCAGAGGAACGCAGTAGCGCCGTGATGATACGTGTGAAGGAAGGCTGTATAAACCAGTTAGCCGTGTTGTGCTCCAACTCGCCGCCGGAAGACGACCAACTGACTCAATGGCTTCTTCTTCAGGACGAGGAAAATGGTGTCCAGCAGTTCGAAGTATTTCGTAAGATAGTTGAGCTATGATTCATTAGCAAACGGAGAACATCACCAGGTCCAAGCCTGGGTACCCACGTAGTACAGCACGACCAATTGCTTCGTCCATCCTGGGCCACTGCAGATGCACTTGTATAGCCCGTGCTTCCAGAGCGACGGGATTATCTGTTCCAGAAAGAGTGCCAGCAAGGCCCCGCTAATGACGGTCAAAACAAAGTTATGCAGCATGAACAGGGTCTTCAGCTTGAAGGGCTGGCGCTTTTTCATTAACTCCCACCCGGCCCAGATGGTGAAATAGTACAGCGAGATCATGACAAAGGTTTCTTTGAACGTAGACATGGGCGTCACGCCCACCCTGAAGCGAAACTGGGTCACAGGATATCCGACAATGGCGGTCCATGCTCGGTCGAACAGCGCCCACGGGGAGATCTTCAGCAAGGCCGGGCCGGGGAAGGCATCCAACTGGTTGGTCGACATGGTGACGGGACAAGAAAATTAGGTAAAAAGAAAGAAGAAAGATAACAGCGTAGGGAACGATCGAAAAGAATAGGACGGGTCTGGAGGTACTGAACGACCGCAGAGGGGTAGATATATACGGCGGAGCAAGGCTTCCCTGCAGTTCCGTGCTCTCCGGGAACCGGAAACAGAGCCGCCAGCGTCACGGGAGAAAAGACTGAGGCCTGCACGGGGCGGGGTCGAAAGAGAAGGAGAGACGGACACTGGGCTCGACACTAAGGCAGCTGTCAGCGATATATAATCTGTAGGAGATAGGAAGCTGTGGGCAGAAGGGAACAAGGGCGTACGGTGATAGCCAGAGAATCCGGCGAGACCCACTACATAGGAACGGAGAACCGGGGGGTTTCTGAGGTGAAAGGACGGGCACAGCTGCCTCTGAGAAACGCGACGACCTTGCAGACGCTTGCACGAAGGCTCTCCAATGTCAATGGGCGAGGCAATGGGAGTCCGGGTCGTGGCTGCGCAGATTGCTGGCGAGCGGCTGCGGGGGGAAGGAGGCGGTCCCAGATCGAGGAAGCGATAGATTCGATAGTTCAGGCTCGATGCGTGGCATGCAGTTAGGCGCGGAAATAAGAAGCGCCGAGCAGCTGATTACTCAGGCGCCAGTTGCAGCGCAGCCATGACGCATACACTCGTTCCTTCCTCAATTGGCCCGCAGCGAGGCCCGCCAAGGGCTCCTTCCTTTCTTCTGCCACGAAGCAGACGGCCGTGGACCAGGGAAAGGAAAGAGCGTGTCACGCGAATTGAGTCCCTTGGTTGCCCGTTTGGGTACATTGGAGATCCCTTTAGGCGATACCGCCCAAAGTGTAATTCCATTATTGAAGATGGAGTGGGATTTTAGCTTCCTGCAGAGTCAAATGCCAGTGGAGGGCGGCTGTTGTTTACTATACTCATGCAAGGATGGTGCCACGCTAGAGGAAATAAGGCATGTTTAGTATGCGACTTGGCAGCTAGGGCTGATCAGTAGTTTTGCCGCCACGAAGCTAGTCTACCGTTTTATCGGTGTTCTCCATCGTCATGCTTGTATAGCAGGAGTCCAAGGTTCAGACCGTGATCATTTGCAGGAGACGTGGAGAAAGCTGTCTCCAAAGGGCACCCCTCCGCAGTGCCTGCCTCTGCATGCGACCGATCTGTATTGTGTTCGGCCGTCATGTAACAATACCGTTCGATACCCGTCATGACGCCCCCTTACACGACATTACCGGCGTACGATAAACACCGCAATCACGCCTTCTCCTCGCATGCAACCTCCTCGACCATCCTTGCGGTCTTTTGTCACAACCTCGCAGCCAAGACGGCAAACGGCAGAGCTAGATGCAGATGAGCTCTTGTTCAAACTCAGACCGTAACAATGCCTTGTTCCCCCATTTTGATTCTCATTTGCCACTTCTTAGCCTCAGTGGTGTTGTATACAGTACGATCCGTACTGTATTCCAGGAAGGAGACCCGGATAGTCTAGTCGCCGAGTCCCTGCCTGAGGTTGGCCACATTGGCAATTTGGCATTCGCAGCTGCAGTCTTTCAATGACCATCCCTTTCTTGCATGTGAGGAGTCAATCTCCAGGAACTTGACAAAGGAGGCTGTTTCCTCAAATATAACTAGCAGGCCTATCTTTCGCTGTAGATCATCTTGACCGCGGTTCTCGACGCTGGCTCGTCTTGTGCTTCGTCGAGCTCGCGGCCTGTCTCTCGTTTTGTTTCTGTCCACTGTCACTCGTTTCGGCTGTCCAAAATGGCAGCTCCCAAAGCCAGCAAAGCACCCTTCAAGGTGCGTTTCGTCCCGTTGATGATTGCATCGACCATCGCGGCCGGTGTGCTCTCCAGGTTGACGGCCTTGAACACGGCCACGGCTCTCATTTACATCTACTCCATCGCCATTCCAGCCTACGTCTTCTACTGGTCGTACCTTTACCCTTATTACCTCTCGCCGCTGCGACATGTCCCCACGGTTCCCGGCACTCCTCTTTGGGGACAACTATTCGACATCATCAACAATGAAGTCGGTGTCTGCCAGCGTGAATGGCACAAAAAGTATGGCCCCATTGTTCGATACTTCTTCCCGTTGGGCACGGAGAGGCTGTCGATTGCGGAGGACTCGGCCCTCAGGCAAATGACGGTCAAAAACCCGTACAACTATCCTAAACCAGTCGGGGCGAGGAAGTGGATGACTCGAATTTTGGGAGAAGGAATTCTGCTTGCAGAAGGCAATGCCCATGTTCACCAGCGCAAGGCCCTCACTCCCGGTTTCTCAATCGGTTCCATCAGGACGCTTGCTCCCATTTTCTGGCGCAAGGCCTTCCTTCTGTCCAAGCTGTGGGAGGAGGAGATCGCCCAGAGCAAGACGAACACCATGTCCTTCGAGGTCCTCGAGTGGCTTAACCGAACGACACTAGACATCATCAGTGAGGCGGGTTTTGGTACCGAGGTTAACTCGCTGGAGAACCCGGATACCCCTCTGCGAGAGGCCTACCGGAAGGTCTTTGTGTTCGACACAGCCAGCCGGGTGATGCATGGGCTGCAGACTCTGTTCCCCATGACCAAGTACTTGCCGGTCAAGATGAATCGTGACATGGAGACATCCCGGAGCATCATTCTGCGTTCCGCGACCAAAATCATCAAGGAAAAGCAGGCCTCTGCGAATCCAGCGGACAAGGACATCCTCTCCCTCTTGGTCCGTGATAACCTCAAACTACAGGCTGCCGGCGAGACAGGCCTCAGCTTCGAGACGATGAGGGATCAAGTAATGACCTTCCTGGGTGCCGGACACGACACGACCGCCACGGGGGTCGCCTGGACGTTGCACCTTCTCAGCAAGCATCCAAACATTCAGACCCGGTTGCGCGAGGAGATCCGCACTCACTTCCCCTTCCTTTTCGACTCTGCCACTCGGGAAACCTTTGACACGAGCAAGATCGACCCGGACCATCTCCCATACCTAGACAACGTCTGCCGGGAGTCACTGCGGTACATTCCCCCGATCCCCATGACGGTGCGGGAGCTGGTCGAAGACGACCAACTGGGTGAATACACCGTGCCCAAGGGTACGACCGTCCTGGTCTACTCCAACGCCATCAACCGGCTGCCCGAATACTGGGGTCCGACCGCCGACGTCTTCGACCCAGACCGATGGGACAACCTTCCGGAGTCGTACACTACCAACGCCTTCATGACTTTCTTGCAGGGGCCTCGCGGCTGCATCGGGCGCAAATTCGCCGAGACGGAGATGAAGATCCTGCTCTGCGTGCTGCTTAGCAAGTTCAGCTTCGCGCGGGACGAGTCTGTGCAGGATCCCGAGGAGCTGAAGATGTGGCGGCTGGTCCTGCGGCCGAGGGACGGTATCTTGTTGAAGGTGTCGAAGCTTGAATAAATACATACATACGGTCAGCAATCTTGGAATGAATGAAATAAAACTTGTTGGTTGGAGATTGGGAAAAAAAAAGTGAAAATCATGTGGATGAACTGATCAATCCATTTCTTTCTCTCGGCTATTAGAGAGGCAGCTATACTCTCTATTTTGTTTGTGTGTGTTTCTTTTTTTTCCCCCCCCCTTCCCTGTCAATCTATTCCAACAGCCTGAGTAAGAGCTGCATAGCAGAATCTATAATATAATCACAGATAAATGAATGGACATTTATTTTCACTATTATGACTTAACCGTTGACAGATCTATCGCTGACTCGATCTAGATAAAGACTTAATAAATATATTGTCAGCGCCTAGATGTCCTAGGTAGGTCGTAGTGATCTATCTCATACGGGAGCTGATCGACCGACCAACACTAGTTTTCTTTCGTTCTCATTCCCCTCTTTCTTGATTTGTAGTGATCTAGATAGACAGTCAAAAAATAGAAATTTTTTTCTTTTTGGTCATTTTACCATATTATCATCGGCGTCGTCGACATATATACGCGTACATATATACTCCTATAGCAGGAGCAGGGTAGGTTGAGAAGAATGTCGACGGGGAAAAAAAAAGAAAAAAAACAGCCCATATTATTAATTACCGTAGAGACGTGTTAGTTACAAGAAAGCGCTGGGGGGAAAAAAAGACACAAAGGCCAAAGCCAGTTGGCTGGGGAGGAGGAAGCCCAAAGCCCGTCTTGCGGAGAAGAGATAAAAAAAAAGAAAAGAAACAAGAAGATGAAATAAAAAAATGCTAGCAAAGATCATCAATAGCAGCAGTTGTATTAAATATGTATTAGATATATGATCTGATATGATATTATATGAAACATAATAAAGGAAAGAAGAAAGCAAGGGGCAGCGTAGGGGGGGTATCGAATGGCGTGACTGTGGCTTATTAGCTGATTGATGAGATCGGATTATGCATGTAGACAAACTGGTGATGATGATGCAAGATGAATCCGGAATGGGGGAATACAAAATAACTGAGGCAGAGGCAGCAGTCCACTCAGAACAATATGAATGAGGGGAATATATAGTAAACGAGCGTCAAATCTGAACGGTAACACAAGGAAACAAAGCGAGTGTGATCATCGGCCGTCGACCGCCAGAGTAATACAGGGGGTATCATCGCAACGTGTAGCAAGGGAAAAAAAAAGGAGCCAGAACTAGGGTGAACGAGTCCATAATCAAGACAAGTATCCGACAATCACGGACACGCAGACGGCAAAGCCTGGTGGGACTCGGGGTATTGTTGATTGAATGGTCTGCCAGACCTCTTGGAAATTGACCCGGCACACACCCCGGGGCGGAGTGAGGCAGCCGTCGGGTGCTTGCTGTGGCCTCCTAGGTACATAGAAGCACCGAGTCGTCTTCCATGTGAATCAGACGTCTATCGTGTAGACCAAAAATAGGTCCTTAAAACATGCAATGACCGAGCGACGCAACGGAGCCTTCAATCCTAACTGTCTCCAGATATCTCCCTCTATCCGGCCTTCTTGCGATGGCGATGGACTTTGTATTCGGCCCGGGCAACCCGCATGAACAGTTCGATGTCCTTGATAGGGACCCAACTCGTGAGCACCTTCATCGCGTTTTCAAAGTCGGATTCGAGAATGATCTCTCGCATGCCATCAATCAAAGCAGCAGCTGTCGCATGTAGGACATCCAGGCCCTTTCCGAATGAACTCCTGGAAGTGCCCGGTTGTTCCGAGTCGGGCTCATCACAGTCGCCTAGAAGCATGAAAACGTCCCAGACGCGAAGTTGTGCTGGAAAAGGGATAGAGTAGTTGAAGAGCGTCAGATACCACCGTGTACCATAGGCAGTTGGGGTAATCCCTAATTGATTCTGGAAGCGGTCAGCATCACTGAGCCAGGATCGAAACAAGAGTAAAAAAAAAAGGCATACCAGCTTTTCAGCAACTTCACCACCTGCAAGCCACTCTTTCTCAAAGTCGTTCAGAGCCTCCATCAAGCCCGCGAACCCAGGCTTATAGAGGCGTTCTAGCCCTCGGAGTTGCCATAGCCGAACCAGCATTATGAATGCATGTTCCTCGTCGTAATAGGAAAGGAGTGTTGCTGCGAGAGCTGCCATGCCTTGAACATACCCAGTGTCAGGGAAATACAACGACATAGCGTGCAGAACCCGGAAGAGCAATCTCTGGCCTCCTCGATAACGTCGGCGGAACATAATGTGGCTGCTGATGGTGCGAGGCACATCAAGATCGATCTGGACGTCGTCCGGGGACGACATCTCCTGGAACTCATGATATGCCTGAATAAGCTCGTCCGCTGATGGACTGTTTTTCCGTTTCTTCGCGCTGGCCTCAAGAAAAGCATACCACGCTGTGGCTCGCCAACTGTCGGGAATACCTTTCCATGTCCGCTCGATGAGCTTGCTGCTGGTTGTGTCGAACTCGAATGTCATCCCGCTCCCATCTTGGGTCTTTTCGTTGGCTTGGCCATTTTCTTCCACTTATCTTCGCGTTCCCACTCCTTTCTCTTCATCGCCAGGGTTGCGGGGGTGTCTTGACTGGCCTCCAGAACTTCAAATGGAAGCGTTAGCATATCACCTGCCTCATCTCTGAATCGACGGTCTTTATTGTGCGGGAGACGATTTGCTGCGTATCGAAATTTCGACGGTGATCTCCTGAGGGACGGACTATACGCGCTTTGAGAAGAGTTCGGCCGATTTGACGACACGGAGTGTCTGCTGCCGTTGCGTGTGGGTGACTTTCCTGTGAGAGACCGGCTGCTTCTGATTGATGACGGGGCACGCATGAGTATGTGTCTCCGCCGTGGCGTTTCTGAGGCAATTAGCAAACTTGTTGACACCCGTTGCATAGGATGCGCATCGGCACAGGGCTCCTGGCTGTCTTTTGTGGCGCGTGGGATGATGAAGCCGTATCTGTCAACGTCACCTGCTTCGAGATTCTGCCAATCCTCGATGCCGCCAGCCAGCTCGTGGGCTTCCCGCTTGATGGCGCTCTTCGTACCGATGGACGAAACACTCCTGAAATCTGTTGTAGACGCGTTCCTATCGGATACGGCATCTGTCCCGTCTTCCGTCGGACTGGGTTCTTCCCAGAGGACACCATTCTCCTGAGCCATTGCTCTACTCACGTCCGCGTCGCTCACATCCTCTTCGCCTCTCTCGTACATCAATCTCACCCGTCGTGACAACATATCCTCATCCGCAGAAATCGCACGTGTGGAATAGACCGATTGCCTGACACGCAGGGAACTCGCCGCCCTTTTGCGCGGTGAAGCAGTCGAAACCGTCGTTGGGGGCTCGTTCGACGCCGACGTAGATGGCGCTACGGATTGCTGCTCATTGAGGAGGCTACCCCGTTTGGAGAATTCCATCGAATCCACTGTCAAGTCGTCCAACCCTCCTGTTGGTATACTCAGCTCGATTCCTTGGAAAGACGTTTCCGCCGGTGGCGCGGGCCGTGGTCTCAGTTCGGACTCAGTAGACTTTCTACCTTTCAGGATGCCCCATTTGCGTTCTGACCACCGTGAACTGGGACGAGACGCTGCATCGTCCACGACTATGCTGGGGATGCTGCGGGGTGACTTCAGGCTGCGGGAAGACCGGTTGTCAGATGGCAGGGCGGCCTTGCTGCCCTTGACAATTCCAGTGGATGGTCGCACCGCTTCCACCACCCGCACAGAAGAAGATTCCTCTTGCGGTTCCGCGGTCTGTTTGTCCTCGCCATCGGATGTCTTGGGTGTAGGATTTGCGGTTTCCGTCTGCTTGCCATTCGTGTCTGGTGATGATTCGAGCGGCGTGGGGGAAGACGCGGTCCTGGCAGGAACGGGAGCGGATGCTGCAGCTGTCTGGTCGGGGGCGACCGCCTGGACAGGCGAACTGGGTTCCTGCATCGCGGATGGCGATGGTGAGTCTTCCGTCTTGCTTACCATATCACTGGCATGGCTTGTCATTGACTTCGGCCTCGAGATGTCGTCCACCAGGACCGCCCGATGTAAGAGGCAAAGTCGGATCCGAGGGGACGGGGAACTTCAGATGGCGCGACTCGATCGAACGACAGCACGGGGCACTTGGAGAGATCGGGGCTGGGCCCAGCGTTCTCGATCGAACACCCAGATATAAGTACGTGGAAACCATGCGCGACTCGAGCGTGCAAGGAGAAAGAATTCGAGCCCCTTTGGGGCGGCACGTTATTATTAGCTGGAGTCCTAGTGTGGAGCTCGGCGACGCAACTCCGGTCCGGGACCAGCCAGCACAGACTGGGAAGGGCCTCTCATTCCAGGGAACAAAGGCCGGAGAAAAAGATTGGGCACGCGAGATCTAGATTTGGGAAACAATGTGCGGCATTGCTGATCAGCAGTGCAATTGCTCCCTGGCTCCAAAGAGGGCGTTGTGGAAGGGGCAGCGGCGTAGCCACACCTTGTCCCACAGCGCAAGCACGGACAATTAATTAGTTACGGCGATGGAGACTGGAGAGTGGAGCAGTGGACCGGCTGGAGCAGTCGCGAGCTTGAGATCCAATGCTGAGAAGAACAGCTGCGTATATTAATAGCGCTCGAGGTGTCATGATGTGAATGGCGTGGTCGAGGACCTAGCTCCCTTCCCAGCACATCCTTTGCTTCCTCTGCTGCCCACGTACTCCGGAGTACCGCAGGACCTCGCCGTTAAAGCTGTCCACTGACCTTCGCAAACGTCGCGCCGCGGCAGCTAACGGGCTTAGACTCTCCACAGGCGTCTAGACGGCGGGCAAGTAAGCTTTCGCCCAGCAAACTGGTTGGCGGACTATGAGCGGACAGCCCTCATTCTTACCCAAAACAAGGGAACCTTCTGCTTAGATGGCTGGCGACGCTACTAGGGGCAGCGGGAACTCGGGGCGGAGCTCCACCGGCCTCCTAGACAGCGGGCCTGGATGGAAGGGATGTCCGACTATACAGAGGCTCTCAGCATAGGGATGACAATGTACTGTACAGCACATACGCAGTGATCCAGTCCCAAAACTGTAGGTAGCCTAGGGAGCATGCTGTACAGAATTCAGCTCTTCATATCTCAACTCTGCGAGATCTCTCAGCAGCTACCTAATTACATCAGCAAAGACAAAGAAACGGAAAAAAAGTGAGAGACAAAACAATAACGACCAGACGTGGGGTAGGAAATGCCCCGACAGTACAATGCTCCAAAACGCCGGAGAACAGGGGTCCACAGACCGACCATGCAAATGAGAAACAAAAAGTGGATAAGGGATATCTTTAGGTCATAACTCAAGCATAACTACGCCGTCAGGTGTAGTGTCTCTACCAGCGAGCATAGCCAAGAACAATGAGGTGGCATCACGTCATCCTGCAGCTGATCTCGATCCGGCCGAGTGACCGGGCTCCACGGGCTCGTTGGGCAATAGTTCGATCTGGCGCACCAGAAAGGCCTTTTCATCGGTGAACTGGTCATCCTCGGTGCGATCCTCCAGGAATTTGGGCAGGAATTTGAGCAGTCGGTCGCGGTTATTGATGAGAATTCGCTGCACCGCCACGGATTTGTTCGGATTTGCAACAAAGACCTGCGCGCATTCTTCCTGTCAATCGTTCCGTCCCCCAAGCGTCTGCCGTTCTCCTGCCTGCCTTGGTGGGATGAACAATAACAATGAGAAGAACATACCTTGAACACGTGGAAACCCTCATACTGCACCATCTTGCGATCGTCCCTCAACAAGGTCATACAGAGCTTCAGGTGCTCGCCGCTGTCGACGTATGCGGTCATGACATTGTAGTTGGCCCGGTCGAGAAGGATTTCTCCCAGAAGCTTGATGCTTTGGCGCTTAGTCACATATGAATCTGATTGAACGAGGACTTTGTGGTATTTGGAAAAGAACAGATCGAAGTTGGTAGCCAAATACCTGGCCACCATGGTTTTGTGGCGGGTCAGGAGATCCTACCAACAGCTAAGGTGAGCTTTTTCTGCAGGTGATCAGGAACTACAGATCACATGTCTTACCCTGAAGATGTTAAAGGCGTCAGCGCTCACTTCGAAGCTCCCTTTGTCAATCCAATCGAAGAACTTCCAGAAGATCCCGTCACCCGACTGTGGCACATCGACATTGAGTTGCTGAAGGCGCATAGCGGATTGCGAGTCCATCGGCTCATTGTAGAGTATGATCGCCGCGATGACCTCGAACTTGACAGCCTCCTTGAGAATAGAGGCGCAAGCGAGAGCGCTATGGTTGTCTTCGAAGCCCCTGCATAGTTCAATGATAACCTCGGGTCGATGATGGACGATGTAATGGACGGCTGGCGGGTCTCCGGAGCTCTCCGTCGGCTTGAAACGGAGGATATGAGTAACGATGGCCTGCGTATCCTTGCGCGCTTCGAAAGGAAGTTTGCGAATACTGCGTGCAAGCAGGAAGAGCAAATCTTCCCGGATCACGGACTCGAACAAGGACCGCACCAGCGCTGGGGTACTGTCAATTTCTGGAGGCAGTTAGCACGAAAAACTGACAACCATCTAGGTAATCGACTTCGGCAGAGAGCTCCGGTACGTACCGGGAGTACCCTGCGTGATGATCTTCATTTGGGACAGCTGTTTTGCGATGTCTTCCTCGATCTATACCAGCCCTAGTTAGCAGAGTACTTGCAATATAAAGCCACCTCCTGAAACAAACCTTTTGCGACCCTGGAGACTCCCATAGTCTCGTGAGAAGGTCTTTCGTGGTCTTGGCAAGGTCGGAAGGAGATCGAGGGCGAGAACTCCTGTTAAATAGGAAGGACATGGTGACTACGGGCCAGGGCTGGCTCGGCGCCAGAGGCACCAGCGCATGTGACTTTACCAGACAGGAGGATCGGGATAATTGAAACTATACGCATAAACAAATTGACACAATTCCATCTACTATGGGTGGAAGGCGTGAAAGATCCGTGGAGGTTCCGTGGTAAGAGGGCACAGGATGTGGGAGGGTCTGGAACAGGCAGTTCAAAACAAGGGGCAGTAAAGGCGGTGAGCAAGGCGGGGTGCAGGCCCGATTCAGCAATCTCGTCGACCAATGCGGCGGGGCAGCGGGCACTGGACTGCGATAGGCCAGTGATTTTTCTTCGCGCGCTCCTCTCCCGTTGCAGGCGCTGTGCTTGCTCCCTTTTCTTAAACTTCATCTCGGAAGATTTTCTTAGCCCTCTTACGATTAGACGCCATTTCCTGGATTCAATTTCCCTCATCTGATGTCCGGTTCTCTCCCGTCTTCCGCTGCGGCGGCTGTGGACGATTTGCATTCAGAAGATAGTGAATCTGCGACAGATAGCTTGAATCCTGCCAATGATGAAGGTTGGGAGGACATTGAACCAGAGGACGATTCGCAGCCTGTTGTTGGGCTTTTCAGTGATGATGTCTATCCGGACGTGCGCTCAATGCTGAAGGAGAGTAGGGAAAGGTACAACTTCGACCTTGTGAAGGTGCAGAAGTCTCTCGGTGTGTAATCAATTGAATTTGTCCCGGAGACCTGCATCACATCTTCTGCCCTCTTTATTGTTCCCTATTCAAGGCAAAACCTACGAACGTGAAGGACATGATCATAGCCCGCTGACATCTATCCTCTCCCTGGCGATTCCCGCCTTTAGACCTCGACTTCTTCGGCACAGTGAAATTGGTTAACTACATTCGTTCCGAGGTCAAGAAGGGGAATCGCAACCCGGATGTTTCGTCCAAGTCACTTTTTGAGGATGACATCTACCTCAAACCCGTACTCGATGATGATGCCCTGCTTTATAGTCTGGAAGACCTCGAAGACGAGCCGGAGACAGTTGATGGAGGAGTGCATTTAGCTAATGGACGCAGTTCGGCAGAAAAACGGATCATTGAGCTGCAAGAAGAGCTAGAGCGCTTGCAAGGCCAGTTCACAGACTACCGATTGGCTGTGCAGAGGTCATTGAATGAACAGCTTTTTAAGGACGAGGACCCCATCACTTCTTCAGGCGCACCAGAGAGGAAAGGCTCAGTACGGAAAAAGTTAGAGAGGGATGAGGAAGCGGATGCAGACTATTTAACATCTTACTCTTACAACGGTGCGTCGAGGTCTCAAAGTGTGTTTGACTTTCACTCACTAATATAAATACGACAGCCATCCATGAGTCCATGCTTAAAGACACGGTGCGTACGGATGCTTACCGGGACTTCATCTACGACAACAAAGGTCTATTTAAGAACAAAATTGTGTTGGACGTGGGGTGCGGGACCAGTATTCTCTCGATGTTCTGTGCCAAAGCGGGCGCGAAGATGGTTATCGCAGTGGATAACTCCAATATCATCGAGAAAGCACGCGAAAACGTCTACGCCAATGGTTTTGGTGACGTAATAAAGTAGGTCCTTAATCCTCTTGGTTATCCTATTCCTCTAGTGGAGGCTGGCTCTAACATGTGTAGGTGCCTCCATGGAAAAATCGAGGAGGTCAGCTTGCCTGTTTCCCAGGTGGACATTATAGTCTCCGAATGGATGGGATACGGCCTCCTTTTCGAGGCAATGCTTGATTCGGTTCTCTGGGCTAGAGATCGCTATCTCGCGCCGGACGGCCTCATGGTTCCTTCCCACGCCACGCTGCGCATTGCTCCTTACGTTGATCCCGACTATATCGACTCACACGTTTCCTTCTGGAAATCTGTCTACGGCTTTGACATGTCAAGCATGCTTGCCAATATCCACGATGAGGTCATTGTAAAAACCACTAAGCCGTCAAATGTCGCTGCGGAGCCGGCCGTCTTCCTACAGCTACCATTGCACACAATCACAGTCGAAGAACTGACTTTCGTCAAGAACTTCGAAGTCACATTAACGGAAGACATCGACGCTCTGGATGGTTGGAATATCTGGTTTGATATATTCTTTATGCCGTCACGCACATCCAAAATTAAGGACGACGCCGTGCCTTCGGAGATGAAGAAGCAAGGCTTCGTGGCTTTCACCACTGGGCCCCATGGACCAGAGACACACTGGCAACAATGTGTCTTGCTTATAAATCATGGAGGGAAGGATCCTGTTCCGCTGAAGAAAGGCCAAGTCATCAAAGGTGAAATCGGGTATCGGAAGAAAGAAGAAAGATCGCGCGCTTTGGAAATCGAGATCCAGTGGGCCGCAGAGGGCATGGAAAAGCAACAACAGACGTGGTCGTTGCAGTGACCACATTTGCACATGTTTGTTAAATACGCATCGGAAAATTCTCCACATAAAAGTCATGATTTGGATTTTATGTATCTCGAGCAATCATATCTGAGACGAGAACTCATGCAGCAACACCTTTTTTTTTGTCGTACAAGATTCCACGTAATGTAAAACTGAGGTCCAGGGCTTATCTCGCAAACAGCTTGGGCTTCGCGTATGGATGCGAGTCCACGATCACGCGTGTGACCGATGTCTCGAGCGATCTTCTTCATCCCTGTGATGACGGTGAGAGCGGTGAGAATGCGAATGATGTTTGTGTTCGGAGTCGCGTTCTCGACTGCCATGTCGGTGACGATGAGAGTGATGATGATGTCGGTGTCTATGTCTCTTGCGATACTTATCATCGTTCCGAGAGCCTTCCTTCTCAGGTACAGCATCCAAACTGAAGCCTTCGAGGCTGCTGAGGGAGTCTCTAGATCGAGATCGGGATCGCGACCTCCTTCGTCGTCTCCGGCTCGAACTTTTCTCTGCTCTCCTCAACTCCTCCAGTTCTCTTGCTCTCTCTTCTTGCCACTTCTTGCGCTCCCGTTCTACCTGTTTGAGCTGTCGAACCCCCGCTTTCATGACCGCCAACGGATCGTTTGCATCAAGACGGGCCCTTTCTCTTTCTTTCCTCATGGGATCCTCGTTGCCCCAGACATCCTTGTCAGGCATATGATCCGGTGCCATCACTTCACGTGCTGATGTCGAATACCATGGTCTCTGCCCAGCTGATTCTCTGTACCCAGCGGCGTTCGAGAATCGCATCGTATATGGATCTTCATGCTCGCGTCTCTTCTTAGAGGCTTCCGCCTCCGCCTCTGCGTTCTTCTCTGCTCGCTGATTCCGCGTCATCTCCGCGGTGAAGAGGTTGATATGGCCCGCGCTGTCGACAATAGGCACGTGGTCATCCCGCTCCGGTCTGACGGACGCAGCCAGCAACTCATCCCGTTTCGCTGCGGCCAGCGCAGCATCCTCTTTTGCTAACCTGATGTCTCTATCTGTATCGTCCTCGCCTGCGAGACGTCTCCGCTTCCGGTGCCTCGTGAAGTCGTCGCCATGTCTCTTGTCCTGTCCGCTTGTAACTGATTCCTCTACAGCCGGAGGCGGAGGAGGTGGGGTAGGCGGTCGTTGTCCACGTAATATTTGAATGCGTCGCTCTGCATCAATTTCTTGCATGCGCCGCTCTTGTTCTTCCTCAAGAGCCTTTGCTCGGGCCTCGTCGCGACGGACCCGAGCGATATTCTCGGGATTGTAGACGTTCCATGATTTCTTGCCCAACAGATGGCTGCGACAGTCAGATATTGCGAACCAAGGTTCAGGGAGGCGTAGAAAACTTACAGCGGCATAATGGCGAAAATACAGGTATCTGAAACGTGACTTTTATGCCCCAGATACTCTTCGGAGAACTAGAGAGTACGTCGGTGGTCCGTGAGAAGCTTGCGCTGCGGCAGTGACGCCACCCGCTGCCAGCTCCGCGGCTCCAGCCCCAGGCGGTGAGCCGTGTAAGCCCCGCGGACTCCGGAGTACATGTGGCTGAAACCGGAGCTGTGCGAACTACCTGACAACATCCCACCAGCAGACGTCGCGACAACATCATCTCTCTTTCCTTGGTGAATTTGTTCCTTTTTTGGCCGGGCCCTGAATTTTACTTCCTATACGGGGCACAATATAGGTGCTGCATTTGTCGCCATTGACGTGCGCACCTAATTCTGCTGCCTGGTCATCTTGGTATTGGCCATCGAGCTGACCCTCGACAAGATTCATCTCTGCCTGGTGAGTTTGACACCTGTCCTCTCCGGTGACAAAGAAATAAATAGAACCGAAGCTGATCTCTGCTTCCTCTATCTTTCCAGAAACTATATCAGTATACATAACGTGATGTTCAACCGCAATAACTTACCATCCATGTCGAGCCCGTTCGGTTCTAGGCCGGACGGCGGTCGGCCTCCGCCACGAGATGGCTACGGAAATCCGCCGCAAGGTGGTCACCCTTACCAGCGAAGAGATGAATATGACGCGAACCGAGGTCCGATGGGTGGAGCAGGGTATGGAGCTTCTCGTCGTCGAGATGACTATGACACTGTGATGACTGATGTCGATTATGGTTCAAGGGGTTATGGAGGTCCTCCGCCACAACAAAGAGGGATGCCAGCGAGACCTGGTGGAGGAAAACCAGCCGGCGGAGCTGCTGGGAGCCCAGTCTGGTCGCTCCGTCCCGAGAAGAGTCCGAACAACTCTTATACATTTGGAAATCTGTCAGAAACCCCGTCCTGAATGGTTGGTGTTCTTGTTGTTAACGGTGTTTAGGGTTGCGGTGTCGACGTTGGACTTTCCTCCTCCACGGGATGGTTCCGATCTTTTACTTCTTGTCAATGATCTCTATGTCTTCTCGGCCCGGCCAATGGATGGTTTCCCGCAGGGTTGTATAAGCATGTCGGATCCGCAGCGGACGTGGGCTGGTGTTGCTTTGACGGACTTAGTCAAGGTTCAGCTATATGACCCTTTCAGCCAGGGAGGACAGGCATATTTAGGTTCTACCGACATTGAAGTTGGATTTGCTGGCAAGAAGAGGACAGACGTTCCATATGATCAAGACGAATTGGGGCAAGCTGTTACTAAGGTAAGTTTTCTGATCGTAATGCTAAGAAGCATTTTCTAATTGAAGCAGAATTTCGAGAACCAAATCTTTGCTCCAGGGCAGAAGATCTTGATGGATCACAAGAGCATCCCTCTTCTTTTGACTGTCAAAACTGTCCAGTTGGTGGACTTGACTTCGGAAAAGCAAGCCTCAACGGCACGCGTTGAAACTGAACCCACCGCAAGGGGTATTCTCACCCGGCACACCGTCATCAACTTTTACAAAGATGCGAGAACTGGAATCAACTTGAAAGCCTCCAACCGTAGGCCTGCCGCCAACTCCATCATCCAACCGGACTTCAAGTTCGAGAACATGGGCATCGGAGGTCTGGATGCTGAATTTAGCACTATTTTCCGCCGTGCTTTCGCGTCACGAATTTTCCCTCCGGGATTGATTGAGAAGCTGGGCATCCAACATGTCAAAGGTATCCTTCTATATGGTCCTCCCGGAACTGGTAAGACATTGATTGCGCGGCAAATCGGAAAAATGTTGAATGCCCGGGAACCAAAAGTCGTCAACGGTCCTGAAATCTTGAACAAGTACGTCGGTCAATCGGAGGAGAATATTCGCAAGTTGTTCGCCGATGCAGAGAAAGAGTACCGGGAGAAAGGTGACGAGAGTGGCCTTCACATCATCATTTTCGATGAACTTGATGCTGTTTGCAAGCAGCGTGGTAGTGGAGCTGGCGGTGGTACTGGCGTCGGTGACAGTATTGTCAACCAACTGCTTTCGAAACTGGATGGAGTGGATCAGCTCAACAACATTCTCCTCATCGGTATGACGAACAGGAAGGACATGATTGATGAGGCTTTGTTGCGTCCCGGCCGTCTCGAGGTGCACATGGAAATCTCTCTGCCCGATGAAAAGGGGCGAGTCCAAATTCTGAAGATCCATACTCAGAAGATGAGGGAGAATAATGTGATGGACCCCGATGTTGATCTTGAAGAGCTGGCGCGTTTGACGAAGAACTTCTCTGGTGCTGAGATTAGCGGTCTTGTTAAGTCCGCGTCATCTTTTGCATTTAGCAGGCATGTCAAGGTTGGTACCATGGCCGGCATCAGCGATGACGTGGTCAATATGAAGGTCAATCGGGAGGATTTCTATCATGCTCTTGAGGAAGTCAAGCCGGCATTCGGTGTCTCTGAGGAACAGCTTAGCACCTGCATTCAATACGGCATCATCCATTATTCGCCCACCATCAATGAGATTTTGAAAGAAGGTCATCTGTTCGTGAAGCAGGTTGGCGAAGCCGATGCAACCCCATTATTCTCAGTTCTACTGCACGGGCCTCCGGCCAGTGGTAAAACTGCATTAGCTGCACGCATTGCAATCGACTCGGGCTTTCCGTTCATTAAGCTCCTCAGTCCGGAGGATATGGTGGGCTTCAGTGAAATGGCAAAGGTGCAGCACATCAGCAAGGTCTTTTCAGACGCCTACAAGAGCCGTACCAGTGTGGTAGTGGTTGACAATATCGAGAGAATCATCGATTGGGTTCCGATTGGGCCTCGTTTCAGCAACTCGGTTCTCCAGACATTGATGGTGTGCTTAAGGAAGCAGCCCGAGAAGGGACGACGGCTTCTGATCCTGGCCACGACAACCGCGCGCGCTGTGCTTAAGCAACTCGACCTTTACAACTCCTTCAATTCTGATATCATGGTACCGACTGTCAACACGTACGACGAGTTACGGTACATCCTTCAACAGTCAGATGCATTTTCTCCTGCAGAAATAGAACAAGCGCTTGAAGGAATTGGTGACATCGCTGATGACAAGAAGATCGGCGTGGGCATCAAGAGAATCTTGCTTGGCATTGAGACGGCAAAGCAAGACCCAGATAAGGTGGGACGCTTTACACGTGTAATCAGTCGAGCGATTGATGAGGAGAATCTCTTCCAATAGAGAGATTGATAAGGTGGTAAAAGCTTCGTGGCTTATCGGCGTTTACCGGGGTAAATGGGATATAGTGTATTTAAAAGATTTATTGCTGAATATTTTACTGACTACCTATATGATGGCGTTTGTTTATAATGGAAACTGTCTGCCACGTGATGTAGTGGTTTCTCAAGCAGTCACCTTTGTCTCACACCTGGGGACTGGAAACACTTCACTCAGCTTCTGTAGATCCCACAAAACATCTTCTCACCATCCATCACTCTGGCCAACAACATAATTTTCAGGCCAATGCCGTGGTGTATTTGTACACTCCTGCACTCCTCACGGATATCTGTTGTCTTCTCCGAAGCCTACCCTTGCATTCTGTGACTCAAAATGGCACCTGGTGTCGACGCTGTGAATAGCCCGGCGAAAGCGTCTGGCAAGAAAGTGAAGAAGAAGAAACAGCATCGCAGCCAGAGCTTTCACCAGCGTCCTCAACCTGATAACGCCCAGTCACCTTCCGTGACAGCAGCTGATCCTTGCAATGGCAACTCGCCTCCAGCACTGTCAGAGACAGTTGCTGCATCACAGGAAAAGCCAAAATCAAAAGGTTCGTCTTTGTTCTTTCCAACTCATTGAGCACTTGATACCCCAAGTCATAATAAATGAATTCTCCTGGAACTGCATCATGGTTTCAACTAAATGAAGAAACCAGTTTCTTTGAGCAAGCATTTTTCCCAGAGGAATTGGACCGTGAAAGGTCCTACGATGACAATGGGGAAATCATAGAAAGAGATACACTTGCAGCATATGGATTTTGTGACTGGCACGCAATCAACGTGGCTGACCCGGGCCCTTATTATATAGTGATTGATAAGCCTGTTAACAACCATGATGTCCATGATGACGACATCATGTTTGACATAACTCAGTACCTGGACATGGACAAGCCTGACACCACGCTTACTCTGGAACCTCCCAAAGAAGACGTTACCATGGCTGACGGTAAGGCAATCCAGAAAATGCTTCTTCTCTTTACGATATCTAAATGGAGAATTGACTCCGACTGATGTTTTGATGTAATAGAACCGCAGGCTGAAATGTCCAACCTCAACGCTGACAACGTCAATAACGCCAACAAAGTCAATAACGATAACAACGCCAAGTCGCCTAGCCCGAGCAAGGCCAAGAAGAACAAGAACTGGAAGCGCAAGGCAGCAAAGGAGAAGGAGAAGGAGAAGGAGACCGGAGGAGGCTATTTAGCTCCCAACGGAACCTACATGTCTCCCGAAGAACTCAAGGCCTATGCGAAAGGCGTCAAGAATGAGAACGGTGACACTGTCGTGTTCTTCCCCGAGTTTATCGAGGATCCCTGGAAAGGGCTAAAACCTGTGCCGACTGAGTGCGAACGTCGCTACAAGTAAGTGGTTTTGCTCCGATGCAGGTACGTTCTTTTCTAAGTAGTAATAATGTTGGCTTTGATGACTGATCTACAATATTTTATTCAATCTAGGACGGACCGTCGTGGGTATGTCTAGGACGCCCAGACAATGTCATACGCCAGCAGGATACGACTCACGGCTACGGCTTAAAGTTGGCTGGATACAGTTTCTCTGATTTCCTTATTTCCTTTCTCAGGGGTTTGGGAGGACCAGGCGTCATGGTTTCTGGCGGTTGAAGGTTTACGTTCCTAGGCACAATACCTGAAATTAATGTGTACAATAGATTGAAATTCCGGGATTGCTAAGCTTCTTACTTAGAAAATACCAAAAAAAAAAAGCTCAGCCTGTTATGAAATTCCATTTTACAGCTCCTCCTTCACAGCATCTGCGAAAGTAAATAAGGAAATATGTAAATAAATAGATTCTAGCATCTATCATTCGTGACAAAAAAAAACACAAGTGGATAAAAAGATTGGAAATTCTCAACAAATACAAGGTCGAAAATCATCAAAGTTATGCAAGCACTCTCCAATGATATGCCGTTATTTTTATTTACCCTGTCTACTCTCGTTTGTGATTGCCGGAGAAAGTGTATAGGGCTTGATGGTCTGTAGATACTTACTTCCTTCTGTTTATAAATGAGATCCAACGCTTGTCCAGCAGGGATGGTTCATAATATTAATGGCCAAGGCAGATAGATGATGGAACATTCCATTCAGAATCTCGACTAAGCAAATCCTTCTTACAAAAATACCTAGGTATGTGCCAATGAATTGCTACCAGTAATGAAATGGAAGGGCATTGAGGAGGGTTTGGAAGAAACAGGTTATTTAGTGAAACCGAATTAGCTGCCTGCCCTCGGAAGGTTCATGAAACTGCGCTGAAACAAGTCACAGCTGCTCCAAATTCGTTGCTTGGTCACGTTTCCAACGTAGGAAAGGGTGGTGTGCCAGGCCAGTGGGCAGTGGGCACACTTAGTCATGTCCTTGGATGCCCACCTGGGGCAGGACCCTCCTGATTACCGAATCTGGCAAGGTGACGACTCGAAGGGCAGCGTGACAGGCGCCGTTGGCGCTTAAATAGCGTGTGATCACCCCTTCACGAAGACAAGCAGGGGTGTTGGTTCGACTGTGACTGGACTGGAGGGAAGAGGTGTGATACGGATGTGAATCGTGTGATAGAGGCGCGGCAAGATCACGGGGGAAAGAAGAGGGGGAGGAGGGAGGGGAGAGGGGAAGGGAAGCCGCCTATAGGGTTACAGAGCTACAGAACTGCCTGCTTCCCTCCAGCGTCTGACTCGATCTCTCGCTACCCTTACGGACTACTGCTGTGAGCGCCATGACCTCTGCAAAAGCGGCGAGTCGGCCGGTCCTAAAACGTAGGGTGGAGCGGAGGATGGCGGGTGCAGGGGTCTGTCTCGAATCTTGACCACTCCGCGGTGGGGTCTACGGAGCAGGATCAGGGGGATGATCCGATCGATCGATCGGGACCCGACGGGCGAGGGCGGAGGCTCGCCAAGGTGGAAATCTCTGTAATTCCCACGTCCACGTACCCACGGGCAGCTGTCACGGATTCCTGTGGGCACCGACAGCGGCGGCGGAGGTGGAAAAAGTGTCACGAGACAGCCATCTGGACCATTGCTGTACTCAGAAAGCAACAAGATCATGACAAAGGGTACATATATATAGCATTCGCCCAAACTGACAACTTAGAAGAACACAAATTACCCATCCAGAACGAGCCCACCGACTTGGAAAACAGCTGAAATCAACCAATGGTACGGTCGGAAAGACACACACGAAACACAAAAACAGAACAGAAGAGCAAAGTCATCACACAAGCCTATCCCAAACCCGGTTAAAACCCAATTTTTGCATCCCGTCGTCAATGTCGTTATTGTCATTTCCGTAGTCGTTACACAGATGATCGCACAGATTGCGGTTTTCGAAGGAAATCAGTAGTCGTCGTCGTAGGTGTACTTCATTGTCGCGCGCCGGAATTCGTCAGGGTGCGCTTTCTCGGCTTTGGCCTTCAGGGCACTTTTGGAAATCACGCTTATCAGCTCCACGTGTTCTTGCATAAGATCAAGGTTACGGCGGAGCCGTCCCCGCGACGAGCAGCTGATAGCGCCAGACTACAGACGCAAGGGGCTCGCCAAGAACAACAGGACGGCGGAGATCTCATTCCGCCGCGCTCCGCTCGGCGGAGTGGAATCCATTCGAGGGGTCGCCGAGAGAGCAATACTGGAGGGGAAAGAAGGGGACGTTGTAACTCACCTGACGCGCTTCTGAGTCCATTCCAAGTCCCGTTTTGTCTCCTTTGCCGCCTTGAGACCCTCGGCAAAGTTAGCGCGAACGCCCTTGAGTCGGCGTTGAGCGAGAGCCTGCAGTTCGAGCAGCTCGCGCTGTTTGGCGTTGAGTTGACCGGAACTGTTCAATCCGTTAAAATCAGTGATCCATGAAGAGTGGGAAGGTCGTTCTCTGCAGCACTGCCAAATCGCTCCCCAGGATCACCTGATATGCGAAAATGGCAAGTGCCACGGCGAACCACGCATTCCCGTTTCAGAAACGGCTGGGGTTGGAAACTCACGCTTGCGCCTGCATCGCCAGTCCTCGGTCCAGCGGCGTCGGATCGAATGCATCGTTCATTCGATCGTTCAACATGTCAACCACGTCGACTCCAGAAGCGGAGCTGGACTCATAGTCGCCACCGACGCTGCCGGCATAACTGCTCGACGTGCCGCTGAACCCCGAGGTGCGACTGCCCGCAGTCGTGCTGCTGTCGGAGAGTTCGGGAGGCGAAACTGCAACACGGGTGACGGGATAGTAATTCGCCGGCGCAGGAGCTTTCGATGGCACGTTGATGGGGAGAGCGACGGCGGGCTGATAGTATTGACGCTGGGTGGCCATTGTGACGAATTGGTGACGAGTTTGCTCACTCTCTGAACAATGAAGGACGACAGGTGTTGCCTTTTCTCGACAACACAGGCAGTGGAAATCAGGAGAGCAGAGACAAGACGCAGGAGATGGTGAGTAGAGGACCGACAGCAAGGCTAACAAAACGACAAGGGGGTTATCGGTCAACAGACAGTGTGCACAGAACTGATGGCTTGCTCCGGGAGCAGGGACACTCAAGTACTATGAGTGCTCAGGGGTGCTGAAGATTTGTGAAGGGGGCTGGGTGTGTCCGAGGCAGTCAGTCAGTGTCGGTCAGGGAGGGGAGGTATCTGTGAATCCGAGTGATAAGAAAGGAAGAAGGAGGAGGAGGAAACTTCGAGGAAAAGAAGCACCCTTTTATACCCATCGCCGGAGGGTTTTCTGTCCGACGGACACGTCTCCTCCGGGCTCAATTGCCTGTCGAGAGAGGTGGTATGGTTGATCGCTCATGGGGGGGCCTCCGGCGTCTCGCCCGACATCCATCCATCACCCCCGATATCCCAATCCCAACCCCCGTTGGCGTCTCTTCCCTCTTCCCCGTCAGCCAATTCGCTCCCTCCCTCGCCCCGACCCCGCTCTGGCTCGGAAGAAATCGAGAGGACAAGCCCAGCCGTCTGCATTGACTCTTGCCATGTCCCCTCCCCACTCGAGTCGCCGCCCGCCGGCCCAGCCATCGCCGTGATCCTGTGAGGGAGCTGCGAGACCCTCCACGGCCAGTTGGTGCTAGCCCACATATGGCCTCCGCGGAAGACGCCCCCCTGGTCCGCCGGCGTCTCATCTGCCTTGTTGTGAGTGATTTGGCACTGTCACCCCCCTCCGCAGCCATCCCGGGAGCAGGTAGGCCTTCCGTGTGAGGTTGGGCAGCTCGGCGTTGAGGGAGGGTGGAGATGGACAAGGGTCCTATATAAGTGGAGAGATGGCGCGGTTACGGTGCTCTAAAAAGGCCTCAAGACCTCAGGAACTTGGAACTCTGCCCATGTCCTTCCTTTCTTTCATCTTCTATGCCACGTGTGCAAATACTCTTGACTCCCCGTTGCTGCTGTTCTACGTTTGTTGGGGAGCATAGGAAAGGAAAGGGACTAAGCGAGATGGCCCGTTTCGTCTTGTCACCTCTCATTGAGGTATGTGCGCTGCTGAGTCTTCCTTCTGTCCAGATGGTTCGATGGCGGAACGCTTGAAAGACTGACGAGAGCAGATTAGATACGGAGCGGATGCCCCATTGAGAGGAATTAGCGCTAATCTTGCTAAGGACTGGGAAGCGTTGGACATTTCTGCATGGCGCTCGAGGAGGGAGAAAGCCTCTCTCGCATTTGGGTTGGAATCCCAAGCGAGCGGCTGAAACAAAGAAGCTAAGTTAAATCAAATTACCTGGAAAAAAAAACAGTGAGAGCAGAATGTACAGCACAGGTTTATTGACTAATGCTGCGGGACAGGCGGACATGTCGAGCCCAAATGGTCAGTGCTTCGGCGCTGTCCCGTGAGCAAAAAATACTGCAAGACGATCAACGCCACCATTGAAGAAGATCGACCGAGAATTTGCAGTTTGCAGGACGTGCGGCGGTGGCTTGTCTATCCGGCACTCGTTTTGGAAGCGGTTCTTTGATCAGCGAGGCAAAGCCGACGCCGACGCCTAAGCAGCAACTGAGGGGTGACAAGCGCTAGACGCGATCAACATGGGAGAGGAAAAAACAGCCTGAACGGCCGGATTGGATGCCCGAACTCGTATGGATCGGTCTACCATGGACTCGGGGAGACATTAGGAAAGCACTGCAGGTTTGATGCGTGAGCGTCTGCGAGGTTCTCATGGTCCAAGGCCCTATAAGAGGCTCGGGTATTCGCGCCTTCTCTGTTACTGGCCGGGACGGACGCAGAGACCAAGAACCAACGCAGGCTCACCGTTCGTCGCGGCCTAAACCAAGCAACGGCTGCCTGAGAGCCCTCTCGATAGTGATACGATGCCCATCGTGTGATCGAATGCACGGCAATCGATCGGCTACTACAGTGCAAGAAGATGTCCAAGCCTCGAGTACCGGTTAGCGGAATCGACGGATGGAGCATTCAGTACGTTGATTGCTCTACAGCATCCGACACAGAAGAGAAGGCACTCAAGGTCGCCTTCATTAGATGCTTCTTCCATCATTCACGTGCGGTTGAGCATTTTTGTCAATTCGGAATTCCTGCATCAGACATCTATGTATATACATCCGAAATGGACAGCCTCCCTACTGACATACCAGACTGAGGAAAAGATTTTTCTGGAAAGTGCCTGGTTCCATAACTTTTCGATGATGATGCAGGATCTGAACAATGAGACAAGCCGTCTTGACAAATTTCATGTTATTGCCTCATTCCTATGCAGCTTTCCCACTGCTATCCGGTTCGAGAGCAACCTGAGGCAAACATGGCTGACGCAGATCAGGTGAATCCTGGCCAGTAAACCGAATTTCCAACTCTTTGTTCTCTTGACATTGGCCATGCTGAGGCTGCCTTTAGGTACCGTGAACTTGAGAATTATTTATTTGCTTGTGCTCGCGACAACTCATCCTGAAATCGCTGCACATCTGATTCGGTAACTTGACACAATCCACCCGGAGTTTACGCAGCCTTTTTTTTTCCCCCAGTCTCTCCTATCATTCGCTCTTTGTCCCATTTGCCGAAGTCTCTTCCCAATTGGCCAACAGGTTCAGGAATAGCAATTTTGGGCAACGCGCGTGAGCTGAGACGAAATATGAGAATCAGACAAGCCGGCTGGCTACGCAGTAGCCTACCAGGAGACCGGCGGGCCACACCGTTCATGCATAGGTAGCGTCGCATTGGACTGCAACCTATCCATCCATCTTCAGCGGGCAGCAATGATATTTGGTCAGGGATGTATTACTGTAACTTAAACCATGATCATTGTTGTACACTTCTTTGCTTTACGGCCTGACCGTTGGATTTTTTTCTAACACCCCCACCACCTATATTCTTCTGTGGCTGAAGAGCAAGAACCAGTTGTCTCATGATAATAATAGCAATAATAATAATCCTCGAGCAGCATGATCTAGAATCAGCCAGGCCATTATTAGTTAGGTGTGTTATGTCGTTATGTGCGAAATATGCAATATCATTCAGTCTCTCATAGTCACCCTGCTTTGCAAAAAAAAAAAAGAGAGAGAGAGAGAGAGCATAATAATTTACTTCATACTTCCCCTCTCTCGACTCCCTCCCTCCTAAGGATCCTTCACCGCCAAAACAAAAACCACGAACCTAAAATCTGCGGCAACCCCAGCAAAACGTCCGTGAACTAACCGCCTTTTGCCTTTCCCCACAATTGCTTTTTTTTCCCCGAGTCTACCCTTTTCCTTATATTAGCCGCATTTCCATTGATTGATTGATCGATCGATCGATTGTGTCAAAACGAAAAAGAGACAAAAAAGAAAAAAAAAAAGAAAAAAAGAAAGAAAGAAAGAAAGAAAGAAAGGCATTATTCAACAATGATGATAGCCAACAGATGTGTTGCGAGGATGATGATCATCATCAACTCTATAGAATACAACCCAGGTCACATAAACTAAGTACTACGACTACTACTAGGCCATCAAGAATAACAATGATTGATGATGACGATGATTAAATAAATAAAAAGAAGCCATATAGATATAAATATAAATTATAAATGTAAATATCGACTAGTATACTCCATTTCTAATTAATCTAAAAGGACTAACTACCTAGGAAATATTTATTAATTACTCAACTTGAATGAATAATGAGTGACATATCATCATCAATATCGATGATTTGGGAGGCTGATACAATGATTCGAATAAAGAAAGAGAGAATGAATGAATGAAGAAAAGAACCCGTGTCTTTTACACACTTACTACGGACGGATGTCTTAATAAAACTGAAGAATGAAGATGATGATGTATGTCGCCCTTGGTATATGTAATTTATTATATGTACAGTCCAAACAAAGAGCCATGCATAGTCAGTCAGTCAGTCAGTCAGTCATTACTTCGGAGACGCCACCAACAAATAAATAAATAGTGATGATATATAGAATGTAAAATAGATATTCCATCCTACCCCACCATATCCCCCTTGGATCGAAAAACGGTAAAACAAAAAGGGTGAGATGGGGTAGATACATAAACAAAAAATAGAAAAAGAAGGGAAACAAAAACCTGGACGACCCGAGACTCGACTGCCTTGCTGACCGCAGCCAGCCCAAACTAAACGCCTAGATCATGATGTATAAATGCGTGCGTTGCTCACAAAAAATGAATCTGATGATTTTTTTTCTCACCCGCCAAAGGGAACAAAAAAATACGCTTTTTTTTTCTTTCAACAAGACATGCTTGGCACATTTGCAAACCCATAACCCGTACGATGATGATATAACCAAATGCATGCTAGTAATTCCCATGATAGATAATAGATCGACCCATGCAATCCAGACCGGCCCAGGTCTCAAAGCTTACCCATGGCCTTGAGACAGAACACCCCATAAACCCCGAATTCATACCGGACAGACAGTAGGCCGGGGGGGGGGGGGGAAAGTACAACAAGAACAAAATAAAGCCCAAAGGGAGCAGTCGAGGAGAGGGTGAAAAGAAGTGACTGGTCCCAGACGAGACATGAGCAGAGGGGAAGAGCGTATGTGGCATGACAATCGCACCTAAGGCGGGTGGCGTCGCTGACAGTTAATGAGGAATGGCTTCAAGACGACGGGAAAAAAAATAAAACATAAAAAGGAAATGGGGTATGTATGGGGTTCAACAAGAACAAATTAACGCCAAAACCCAACCACAGCATAACATAAACGCCACCCGTTTGATGCAGAAACATCTATAGGCAACAAGGGAAGAAGGCTAAACAAGCGTAGGGAAAAGGCCCAAAAATATATAAAGAGGTATCCCCGAGGGACAGAATTGAAGGAAGCGTTCGAATCCTGGCCCTAGTCAAGAGACAAGCCAGGTGAGAAATCATGGCATGATGTCCCAGAAAGAGCGACGCTAGGAGCTCTTTTGTTTCTCCTTTTTCGAATCTCTGCGGTCTCGAAGCAATACTTGAGGCAGATTGGGATCCAGCAACCCCATCATCATCTTTCCGAGTTCGTTGTGCTTGATCGGCTTTGTGACATAGTCGTTGAAGCCCGCTCGTGCCGCGTCGTCGATCTGATCAGTCATGGCATTGGCGGATAATGCCATAATGGGAATTTGCGGGAAGTGGTTCTTTGCCTCCCAAGCCCTGATCTCGCGACAAGTATCGTACCCATTCTTCACGGGCATCTGGATATCACACTGTCGAGGTAATACAAGTTAGTCTCTGCGTAGAGTACGTCAGCAACAACGTCAAAGGTCAAACTCACAATGATCAGCGAGTAGTAGCCAGGCTCTTTCGAAAAGACCATCTCAAGGCACTCTTGACCATTGCTGGCAGTCTCTGAAAACACCTTGATTTTATCAAGGTATTTCAGCATGACCTAAAATCAGCGTAAGCGACAGTTTACCCAAGACCGGCTCGGTGAGATTGATGTCGAAACCATACCATGCGATTAGTCTCATCGTCCTCGACGAGCAGGATTCGATGGCCCTTATTCCCAATGACTTCCTTGACCATTTTGGACATTGTCTTGAAGTTGTTGTTGACCTCTCGAGCCATGTCCTGGTTGCGGTCTTTACTTAGATCACGCCGACGGTCGGGATCGAAGATGTCAGAGAAGGCAGACGGTTTGACTGGCTTTGGTACGGTATCTACTCTGATGCCCTCCGCGACTAATTCCTCGATCTTCGAATTGATCCGCCGCTTCTGATAGAGATCGGAGATAATCACCAAAGCGGGTTTGGACTCGGCATCTGACTCCTGAATATGTTGCATCACTTCCATGACATCATCCGCGCCAGGCAGATTGAGAACGAGATGGGTCAGTGTCGGAGCGTCACCCGCGTACACGAGATCCTTCCAATCCTCCACATCAGGAAGTGACATCACTGTCGACGGGACCTCATGGGGTATGACTTGCTCAATGTGCTGTTTGATAGCTTCCCGAGCATGGTCAAGTGGGCAGAGAATAAGGACCGAGTAGGTGACCGGAGGATGAGAACTGGATGCCTGAGTCTTCTCCACCGTGGGCGTGGACTGCACCGACGGAGGTACGGTGGTGACACCACTCGCAGACGTCGTCTGGCTTGAAAGATCTTGACTGGACGACGACTCCACCGGAGGGTGGCTGTCTTTCGCGGAAGGATCATGCTGCGCTGCAGGATCAGTTGCACGGTCGGGAGTGGGATTGGAGCCGGAAGGGTCTGAGCTGCTCGAATCTTCGGCCAAAGGAGAGAGGTCATGAGAGGGCGACTGATCCTGGAGGGTCGATGAATCCTTCGACGCGAGAGGCTGAACACTGTTCTGGGACGTGGCTGTCGGGGCTTCGGAGACATCCGAGGATTTACGGGTTAACGAGGGATCCTGGGGGACCGGATAAGAAGGTGCATCCACTTTGACATAGAAAGAGAACTTTGCTCCTTGACCCTCTCGGCTGCTTGGTGTCAGTTTCCCGCCATGCATCTCGACGAGCTGCTTGGACAGAAACAATCCCAATCCACTTCCAGCATGCTGCTGTGAGCCGCTTCCTCCGATTTGGCTGAATCGTTGCATCAGTCGTTCGGCATCAGCGCTGCTGAAGCCTTTGCCAGTATCCACGACCTCAAAGTTTAACAAGATCTCGGTGGGCTTCAGAGGAACAGACGGATCATGATGGATCGAACACCGAGTATAGATCTCCCCCTGGGAGGTGAACTTGACTGCATTCCCCATGAGGTTGATAAGCACTTGCCGGATTCGAAACCGATCACCAATCACCATGGCAGGAACGTCGACATCCATGAGGTAATTCATCTCGAGACCTTTATCGATAGCTCTCGAAGCGATGGTGTCTATCACATCCTCGAGCACAGACCGGACATGGAACCATGAGTTGACTAAACTCATCTTGCCTGCCTCGACACGGGAGACATCAAGGATATTGTCGACCAGCTCGCGAAGGTTGGTAGAACTGTTCTGGATGGTGTCAAGCATGCGCCGTTGGTCGCTATCAAGTTGCGTGTCGAGGATGAACGGAATGGTGCCAAGAATCCCATTCAGCGGCGTTCTGATCTCGTGAGACATGTTGCTGAAAAACTTGGTCTTGGATTCCATTTCCCTATTCAGTTTCTGCATCGCCTTGTTCAATTCGCGCTCCAAGTTTTTCCGGTCGTTGATGTCGGTGCACGTCCCGTACCATGAGGCCTCGCCATTACCAAAACTGCTCGTCTCAACTTTCACCAGCCGGACGAGGTGCCATCGGTAGTCACCCCCCTTGGACCGCAGGCGGATCTCCGTTGTGTAGAATACGCGACCGTTCTCGTCCTCTTGGGCAGCAACGACTCCCTGCTCAACAAGCTTCTTGAGCGCGGGAGTGACCCCTTGGGAGAATATCGTGCTACCCTTGATACCTTCAATACCAGAGCCAGATGGATCCGCTTGCTCGGCGTTCTCCGTGAACAGCGCGCCGCACTTTTCCAAGTCATCCTTGTGTATATGCTTGATGAAACCGAAATTCATGGCTTCTTCGATGGTTTGGCCGGTATACAAATGCCACTGTTCATTTGCGGAGATCAGACCGCTCGTTTCACCCGCCTCGAACACCACCTGCGGTATGGAATTCGCAAGCGCGCGGTACTTGGCATCCGTAGCGAACATCTCACGCTCTTGTGCCGCTTTCATCTCGGCGACATGCTGCTCGTGGACGTCGAGAAAAGAGCCGATCCAGTAAAGGAGTTCTCCCGTGGGGGACAGAAGAGGGTTCGCACGGAAAATGAACCACCGATATGCATCGTCATCGTTGAACCGTTTGACCCGAACCCGCTCCGTAAACTGTGTTCCCGTCTGCAGGGCCTTGGCCCACTGTCTGGAGACCGATTCCAGCTCGCTCGGGTGTATATTTTGCCATGGATCCCTTACTCGCTGCTCTTGGGGTTGACTTCTCCGGTAAGCATCGAACTTGGAATTGGTCCAAATCACTTCTCCGGTCCGAGGTTTGGCCAAGAACAGGTGCAGGGGAACCGAATTCAGCATCAGCTGGGTGATTGTATCGGAGAATGGTCGTGAAAACTCGCGGTGGAGTTGCGCAAAAACGGAGGTGCTCGAGGTATTGCGGGAGGATGTTCGCGTCGGCATAGACGCTGGGATAGGCCTACCATCCTGGGGGTGGGAGGAAGGCTCGACAACGCCGGAATCTTTGCTGACCGGTTCATCGTCGCGACCGGATTTCGCCCTGGCCGTACCAGGAGATGCCGGCGTCGATAAAAGAACGCTTTGCTTCGCTTTAGAGCCGCGGCCTTTATTCTGAGCCGCCTGGCCACCAGAGCTCCGACTTTGCTGCAGGTTGAAGTAGTCATCGACTAGTTCAGTGCTCTGTCGGACACCCATGGCGCTGGGGTCGTTGGCCGGGGGCGCAACGTTACTTCCTTCCAGGCCCGGCGTTCCCGCCACCGAAAAGGAAGGGCTGAACTTGGACGCGTCGTCGGGACTGGAAATGCTGGCACGAGCGGATATGGGGCCGTCTTCCGTCATGACGTGTCCACTGAGTCCTGCAACCAGTTCCAGTTCGCTGCTCGGATCCGAAAATGTCCCACCCAGACCGAGGAGATGGCCGAAGCGCGGTTTATCGAATCCCGCCGCGAGCTGTTTTTCGAGATGACTATATTGCTGGGCTAAGGAGAATGAGGTCGTCAGGTGAGGGATAAGATACATGAGGGAACATCGGAGGTTTGCGGGATACGGGATGATTGGCGACAGGAAGGAGATGACGGCCACGGGAAACCGGAAGGTGTCTGAAGAGGCGTGCTTGAATGAAGTTGCATGCAACAGCGGAATATGGACCACCGACTTTGATCGATCCACACCAATGGCGGCAAGAGGTTGCACTTTGGAATAGTCATGAGACGGTGGGTCCTTCGCAAACGCTTGTTCATCGACCGCATGGTTGGTGAAGAACGGGTTCTTCTCAGGATGTGTCCGCGGGGCAGGAGAGGGAGCGGGGGACTGTGACCAAGGCGACGGAGGCGTTTGTTCGTACTCTTCGTAAAGCTCGAGGGGGCCGGACGAATGATCCTTCTTCGTCTGGAGAGAGATACGGGGACTGAAAGTCGGTTTCGGGCGAGCGGGAGGTGTCGACAGAACGGACGGTTGCGATCCCTCCTTGCTGGGATTTTCAGCGGCGGCGGCGGCTCTTGGGGACTCGGTGGCCGGGGTGGTCTGCTCTTTGTCGTCTGGCGTGTGGACGGCTGAGGCATTCGACGGTTGAGAGGAAGATGGGTCATATGCATATTCTCTTGTTAGCACCACAGGCTTTGTACGCCCGAAAAGCTTGACGATGCCAGTGCGCTTTATCAACGGGTCCGCTTCCATCTCCAGTTCTCTAGGAATGGTGAAGACTGTCAGCGGAGAGTTTTGGGAAGCGGAACCCGGCTGGGGCGGGGCAGACGTCGCAGGGCTATCGTGTTCCTGGCCCTGGGAGGCATTGCCAGACGTTGCAGACTCAAAGCTACTACAAATATTGACCGGCTTCTCATTAGACGGAACTCGGTGCCTCATCTCCGATAGACTCTTGTTGCGTGTGTGATAGAGAGGTCTGTCAAATTCGCGGACGCCGGGGGTCTTCTTGTCCTTTCCAAAGCCTGCAAAGGAATGACGCGACAGCAGCGACGGTCGTGTGGGGGATGAGAATTTCGTGCCCTTGCCTCGTGATGCACCACCTATGTCCTCCCTCTTGGCTAAATCATCTGGCGATCCGTCTTCTTTGAGTGCGTTCTGGGTTCCTGAGGACGTGACATTATTAGACTGTTCGTCGGCTTGGTGCGGGTTGAAGGTTGCCTTCTGACCCCACGGGACGTTCTCCAGGTCGGTCGAATCTCCGGGAACGGCCAGGGATGCCCGTTCTGCGCCGTAATGGGTCCGTAGGATTTCAACCACGTTGGCCCACCAGGCGTCCAGGCCCGGATCGGAATTCAATTTCAAGATCACATCGTACAAGTTCGGACTCGGATATTGCGGGTCATCTGCGATGGGAGCTGCACCGGGAGGCAAGCAGATATTGTGGGGGACAGACGTGATCTCTGACGCACGAGAACGCATGTCAATCGTTCCGGGGGCCTTGGAGGGCCGTGTGTTGACCTTGTCAGCAGCCGGAGATTTCAGGGTAGAAGCGCGCGTTTCTAGGGATGGTCGAGCATCATTCGTCTTCTCGGGAGTGCTTCGCGGCGGCATGATTGGAAACGGATAGGAAGGAGTCTGGGGAACATGCTGATCGGGGGTCTTGGTCGCAGAGCTGGGGCTGCAGGATCCGTTGGAGTCGGCATAGGGAGCAGAGCGGACGGCTCCGGGCACCACCGAGGGGGAGGAAGGTCGAGAGCGGACGGTCTTTCTCGGGGTTGTCTCCCCCGGCGACATGGCCTCAGCATGCTGGGAATGGTTTGACGGGCTGCGTTGTTGTTGTTGGGCCTGTTGATATAGGAGCTTCTCGTCCATTCGCCTCCGCAATTCGTCCAAGGTTCGCGCACCGCTTTCCGAGTTTTGTGCAAACTCTAACGCGGGCTCCAGGTCCTGGGGAGGCTCACGTGGCTCGAGGTCAATGCCAGGACCCTGGGACGGAGCACCATTGGGTTCGGGAGCCGGGACAGGACGAGCAGGAGAAAAATCAGGCGGGTGGTGAGTCGCAGGATTCAGGTCCAGCCCGGAGGGATGAGGCGTGTGCGAATGGGGAACGGTCGACGGGGACGGCAGCATGGCGGGCGACGAGCCAGGCTGGCGTCTTGAGCAGTCGTCCACGAGCCCCGGGACGTGGGAGACCCCTCCTACACCAGGCGACAAAGTATCTCAGGCCCCTGAATCCAGCTGGAAGAAGAAGGATAGGGCACGCATCGCTCGATCGGGAACGACGACTAGCAGGGGAGGCGGGCAGCAGGGCGATCCATACAAGGGGAGCGAGGGCGAGAGCACGCGAGAGGGCGTGGCAGCGTCACAAAGGACAGGAATCACGGCACGAGCGCGGTGGTGAGGGAGATGGCGATGGCGAGATGGGAGTTTCGCTGCGTCTGGAGGCGCGGCGGCAGGATCTGCCCGGGCCAGCGAGCCAGCGCCGGGAGTGGTGACTCTGGGCGAGCGCTGACAGGAAACGCAGGGTTGGCTATGACGTAGCCAGGCCGGGGAGCGGGCTTGCCGATTGAGTTGGGTGACCAGCAGCAGCCGGCCGTAGCCCCAAGCCGCCAGCGTGGGATGCCAGACGGCGGCACCCGCGTCGCTGCGGCCAGAATTATTATTTTCTCTGCGTACTCGTACTCTACGCTTCTCGCAGCAGGCCTCAGCTGCCCGTCTGCGACGCTGGGGACGCGCGTGGCGGGCGGCCAGCAGCCAGAGCCGTCGTCCGCGACCGTCGACACGGGCATTGGCATCGCCGGTGCTGTGCTACAGTAGCGGTGGCCTCCATGGTTCCCCCAAACTGCCCCGCCCAAGGAGTTTTCTCGGGCTTTCTTTGTCCAGGCGCCTCCCCACCGGCCGGCAAACAGCCAAACCCAGGTGAATCAGCACCCCCGTCGCCCTCACACGTGTAGCCCTGGCTCTTCTGCCACTCAGCGCGCAACGGGGCCTGGGGGCAGCGCGTGATCCGCGGCCACTTAGCAGCACCGCGTGCTCGCTGACAGGCAGACGGTGGACCGGCTGTCATGCCCAGCGAGCACTGGCGATGGTCCGACTCGGGTCTCGCTGGCGCCCTCTAGCGCGGCACTTTTATCGGGCCCAGCGCGCCCGCCATTGGCCCGTCGCGATACCTCTCTATACTGCCCTCATGCAGGCCGCAGCCGACGTCACTGGCGTCTGTGCCGCTGGCCCACTGCACGCCTGGCGCTCGCCGACTCCAGAGCGCCGGATCCCGCTGGCTTGCCATTCATTCTTCTGCAACGGCATCCTGCTGACCCTGCCGGCCCTGTCCTCCCTGCTCCCAGCCAAGTGCGCTTCCTGGACACATGCCGCGCCGTCGTCCGTCCTGCGGTGGCGCGACTGCTGCCTCACTCGCCACCTCAGCCTCCTCCTTACTTCCCAAGCTGGCAGGTTCTGTCCGTAGAAGGTTGCTAGGACGAGGTGCCGTCCGATCGAGCACTGCAAGACGTCAGTGCGACGGCTTCTCTGGACAAGAAGGGCTCGCTGGCCCCACAGTTTCTCTCCTGTCTGGCTCTGGTCGCCTCAGCTTTCAAGGTTTGGGGTTGGGGAACCAGCTGGAAGCTTAGATCGGCAATCAGGTACGTCAGGAGAGACCACGGGTACGGTTGGTGATTGCCTTGGTGAACGGTTGCATTCCGGGGGCTTCGAAGCTCCTTCGGTGCTTCCAAGCCTTTCCCTGACCGCTCAGATTGGCTCTAGTGGCTTGCAACCAAACTCATCAAACAAGCTTCGCGGTGCCGGTGCAGCCATCGTCTTGGCCGCTTCTTGATTCATTTAACCCTTCCTGTGATAGCTACAAATAATTCCTGGCTTGCCAATAATGCGGTGTCCCGCCTGACCTTTCCCAGTTCCTTTCTTGGTCGAGAATCGAGAATCCCAAATAACATGCAGCCATGCACCCTTGTAGAGTATCGACCGTAGTGCGCATCTCTTTCCCTGTACCTGTATAATCGACCAGAATAGCGTGACCTGGAAACTCGTGACCTGGAAACTCGTGACTATAGCCGGATTGCGCACGTGGGAAAGTATGTCTGTAGGCAAACAGAAACTCAATCCAAATCACTCGTGCTCCCCTCTGAGAATAACATCAGCGCTTATTCAATTGCTTTGACATTGCTTTCCTGATCATGAACGGGAAGATGCACCAGACTGCCAAGTCTCACCATATACTTTCTGTGTCAATTGCCGATTCACATTGAGGACGCGTTTAGAGCCGTCCGTTACAGTCTCGTGTCATTACCCGCATCAGAATAAAAATATCAGCCAAGGGTAGGATTCTCGTGTGGCATGCCCGACTCGTGTCTTGATATCTGTCGCTTCGACAAGCAGGTCCAACTGCCTGACCCTGAGGTCATCATGGTTCATTATAATTACGCGTTTGACAGCCGTACAGGTAGAAGAGTCCATCACCAAAAGGCCCGCGAAACATGTGACCTGAGCCGCCTTGCGGGCCAATACTCCCAAGGAGGTGCTGTCGAGGCCTCGTCTTTCTGCTGTACTACTGTACGGACTGTACTACTGCACGGGACTGTACTACTGTACGGATTTTCGAACCACTGGCAGATATCCTCGACCCAGCAGCAAAGAGGTGGCGGTCAACCTCAAAGGAAAACAAGCCAGGAATCACGATCATAACAGTATCAAGACCCCTAGCAATGTTGATAGAGCGTTCTAGGACTCTAATTATGGCAAAACTCCGCAGACCCCGCCCCTTCGATCAAGTGGAGATAGGTCTTATTATGGTGCTTATTTGTGGAACCGGCGGAAGTCTTGAGCGAACCCAGGAATCGATTCCCTCACATAATGATGAAGGCCATAAATCAAGGAAGAGGGACCGTTAGAACAAGACGAGCGAGGCAGGAGATCAATCCACGTCCTTGAGAGAAGACCGCTGGATTAAATCCATCCTGATGTCTGGCACCGATCTCCTGCTGGATAAGAGAGCTATCCACCCAATGCATGGCTCTCCGGCGCTGATCCACCTCAAAGAACTAGGTACGCAGTTCCCCCTAGGCGATTGGATCAGACAAGCGTGAGCGTTGACCGTCGCCGATACTATCGCCATCTAGTCAGGTACGGATATTTTTGTGCCTGCCTTGCAGCGCGTTAGGCACCAACTGCGGCGGCTTAGCGGCCGCGCTGCTTAGCTAACGACCAAGCCTCATGCGGCCCGCCTGCCAAAAGCGCCGTGCTTGCCGTTCCCGTTGACCTTCAGCCGAGCCCAGACCGTGCCGCTTTTCTGCCCCCCAGATGCGTCGACCTTGGAAGTCACACACATTCCTGCAAGAACCACCTTCGACGTGATCGCGGTGCATCCATCCCGTCCTGCCCGTCCTCTTCCTCCTGTGCCCCGACATCTTAAGAGCGACCCTATCTGCTGCTTCGTTGACGCGGCGGTGTGCCCTTTCATCCTGTCCTCCACGTCGCCTGACTGGCCGCACCTTGTCCAACGGTTCCGCGCGGCAAGGCCCGATCTGACAGTTTCGTGAAATCTCCGACCGCATCAGCAGCCTCCGGCGTTGTCCGCGTTAGCTTCACGATCCCTTCCCGTCGCTGCGACGCAGCCCCCGTTGGCCATGTGTTGATCCATTGATCCCGCTTCCTCCTCGCCGCTCTGATATGGAGGATCATCACGTCCTGGGCGAGGACCTACCGCTGCCGCCTGCACGACTCTTCGAGCGGCTGGCTCTCCTGCCGGGCTACAGCTGGGACCAGACAATCGAGCCTTTCCACTCGACCTACGATAACTGGCATGTCTTTGGCGTCCGCCAGTCGTTCGACTCCGATGTCTCGACCCCCGCGGCCACTTCCTCCGGTCCCTCCAGCGCGACCCGTGATTCCCCCCACATCGAATCCAGGCCGCCGTTTCGGCACCACTGGCGGAGTAGCCTCAGCGAGTCCAGCAGCGATCTCTCCTCCCGCATTGAGCAAGAACCATCATGGATTCCCGTTGTCGCCCGCGTCTCGACCCATGTCGTGAGGCTGGAACGGGAATTTCACATGATGCGATCCATCGTCCAGACCTCCGACCCCGACTGCGTTCACACCGTTCGTCCGATCGACCTGGTCCGACTGCCACCTGAACCAGACGATCCTGGTCCGATCCTGGTGTTCATATCCGAGTCGCCGGGTCCGAATTACCTCAAGGAGCTGGTCGCCTTTGGCCCCGCCTGGTTTGGGTTTGGCACCAAAAGCGAGAACAGCACTGGCTCCACGCCCGGAGAGCAGGTCTCCCTTCCCCTTTTTCTGGACTTTGCGATTGGCGCCTGCGACTGTCTCGAACTGCTGCATTATGGCCTGAAGACCATCCACGGCGAAATCAGAGGCGATGCCTTCCATTTCAATCGTACCACCGGCACGGTCAAACTGATCAACGCGGGAAATGGTGCGAGGGCGTTTGATAATGCGCTAGGTGAAGGATGGTCGGCGTTGTCCCGGGAGTTAGGCGTGAAAACGAAGTTGCAATTCATCGCCCCGGAACAGACGGGGAGGATGCCCACCGAGCCAGACAGTCGGACGGACATCTATGCGCTGGGTATCCTCTTCTGGACCATGCTGGTGGGGAAACCAGCCTTCACAGGCAATAGCCCTGTCGAAGTGGTTCAGAATGTTTTGGGGAGGAAGTTGCCGCCGGTGTCCGCGAAACGAATAGACATACCGGATGCTGTGTCGGCCGTGATCCAGAAAATGACCCAAAAGGAAGTGAGCGAGCGGTACCACACTATTACCTCCGTCAAAAGAGATCTGGAGCAGATTGCGAAACTCCTAGGTGATGGAGAAAGGGAGGCGCTGAAGAACTTCCAGGTCGCAAAACGCGACGTCTCCTCCTTCTTTACCCTTCCATCCGAGATGTTCGGGAGGGAGGAGGAATATCAGAAAATCATCAGTGTGGTGGAGAAGGTTCATCGACGCCAGCAGGCAGCACATCCCAAATCAGCCGCTCCAAATTATCTGGGCTCAGCTTCATCCATGTCCGAGGGGCGGGTGGACAGCTTCGAGATCGGAGAAGGCTCCAGCGATTCAGGATCCTTCAACTTCACCAATTCAAGAAGCAATTCCAATGCTGGGCCTTATGTGCTCGGCCATGTTTCGACCCACGAGTCCACCCAGAGCACCGAGTCCTCCCTTTCCACCCAGAAACCCGGTGGTCCGTTGCCGACCAAGATCAAAGGTTCGGCTGATTCCCGGGGCACCGGGGATAATAATGGTGATCGGGACAGTCATCTCTCGACGAGTGCCAGCAACCAGAGCCCCATGGAGCCGCTGAATCCTCTTACGAGACACAAGACGCCCAAACTTCGTCGCGGCGGTCGCTGCGAAGTGATCACCGTCTCTGGCGTCGCGGGAATCGGTAAGACTGACCTGATCCAGCGCGTGCAGCCCGCGATTCGGAAACTGGGCTATATTGGGGTTGCCCGTCTGGATCGGGCACGAAGGATTCCTTTCGAACCGTTTGCCAAAATCCTAGCCAGCCTTCTTCGCCAGATCTTCTCGGAGCGCGACGTCAATTCTGACTACCACAATAGTGTCCGGGCGTTCTTACGTCCCTTGTGGCCAACCCTTCATGAGGTCCTGGAACTGCCCGAGCATCTTATCTCTTCAGGCCACTCAGACAAATCCCTGTCACCGAAATTGCCGGGGGCTCAGCATCCTCTGAAAGAAGGGCAGAGGGCCGAAACGGCAAAACGTCCTAATCTGGGGCACGGCCAAAGCCCGGTGGAATTGTTGCTATCCGGCGCCGCTAATAAACATATGCGCATGATGGAGACCTACATCGAAATCTTGCGAAATCTCTGCACTCATAAGTTGATTTGCGTCTGTTTGGATGATGTTCAGTACGCGGATGGCGAGACTTCTGACCTCATCATCAATATCTTGAAGGCCAAAATTCCATGCTTGCTGATCCTGACCGCTCGAAAGCCAGAGATCGAGTCAGCTGAGATCCAGCCCTTTTTGAAGCGGAGACTCCCAGTATAACCAAGATCGAGCTGCAACCACTGTCGGACGAGGAAATTACCGATTATGTGGCCGCTACGATGCATCAGCCTCCTAATCCGTCACTAACGCCCCTTACCGCCGTGATTCAGGAAAAGAGCCGTGGCAACCCATTCTACATTCGAATGATGCTGGAGACATGTTACCGCAAG